GACCCAACAAACACATCAGTGTGAATTAATTCTCCTGGTCTTCATGTTCTTACCCAAGTTCAAAATTTCAATCGATGTAACTTTCCATAGACACATCCTTCACATAATTCACTGTCTACAGGTATATCAATGTTTAGTTCACGTTTTATGACCATTTTAACATGTTTCTTATTCTGATGTCCCATTCGTTCATGGTATAATTGCAATGCATCTTGATCGTTGACAAAGTAAACTTCAACTTCAGAATTCAACGGTCTAACAGTTTTTGCTACAAGTTTGAAGAAACCTCCATTATTGTTTCTTATTCCAACACCATTTATCACATTGTCAATAAGTAGATGACAACTTCTTGAGGTAGAAACAAAAGAGCTATTTCTGTTCTTATCTTGAGCTGCAAGTACTGAGAACAAGTTTCTTTTCACTTTTGGCACATACCAGACATCTGTGAATTTAACCGTTTGCCATTTTCACTTTCACTTGAAGATGAACAATTCCTTTTCCAAAAGCTTCTACAGTATCACCATTTGCAACATATATTTTACTCGGTTGAGAAAATTTTTCAAAACTTTGAAATAGGTCTCTTCGGAAAGTTAAATGACACGTAGTACCATTGTCAAAAAACCATTCATCAGTGTACGCTGACTCGTCAATTGCAAAAACACTTGATTCCATAACAACTAGTGATTTCTTATTGTCATCGTGTAGATTGTTATTTCTTGGTTTTGCTGGTTTACCATCGGAATGCCATTTTTCACAATTTCTTACAATGTGACCTGGCAATTTGCAGTAATGACATATCAGTCGCTTTGATTTGCTGACAAATTTATCTTGTTTCTAACCTTTCGTGTCTTGAGATGACTTATTACTTGTTGCTTTGACAAATAATACCTTATTACTTTCAGTTTTGTTTAACAATCTCAAACTTGCAGCAAATAAGAAATATTTTTCTAGCAAAGTTTCAATTATTTGAAACATCAGCATTAAGTAACTGTTTTCATCTTTTGATTCTTTTCCTAACTCAACCTTTAAATCTTTCCAAAGATTCTTGAGTTTTGTAACATGTGAGACAACATCATCACTTTCATCCATTTTATAACTGAAGAACTTCATGCATAAATTGTATGCTTTATCTTCATTAACTTCATCATACAATCTATGAAGTTCTAGCCAAACATCTCTGGCATTACTAAATGAACGAACTTTTTCATACGTTTCATCGGTCATATTTGTTGACAGAATTATCATAGCATTACAATCTGCTTTATTGAATTTGTTCAAAGCAGTTTGATATTTTGCTATCTCATCTTCATTTGAGTCATCGTTTAATTCATCGGGACCTTTTAATTTGCCATTTACTATGTCCATTGCATCAGGAATGCCGCGTAGTATTATTAGTGATGGTACGATAATCGAAAATTCGATTCGATTTCGATTCGATTTCAATAATCGAAATCGAATCGAATTGTTCTAAAAAAATTAAAAACATTGCAACTGTTATAAATCTAAATTAATGAATATTTATTTAAAGTTATTTTTAGTTAAGTAGTTAATATATCTTGTCACTATAGGATGATAACAAAGGTCAAACTAGTATGTTTGACTATTCGACCTCTGTGAAAGAATGGGAACCGAACCATCCCCGAGCTAAAGCAGCTACTTTGACGTTGGCAAAAATGATATGTACCGACTTACAGCCTTACAGGATAGTACAAGATAAAGGTTTTGTGGCATACAGCAAGTCTTTGGAGCCACGTTACAAGTTGCCTGATCGCCACAAACTGTCTAAAGAAATCATCCCAGGTTTGTATGAAAGTTTCAAAAAAGACTTTGCAGAATCCATTCAACAAGTGGCATCATTGGCTTTAACAACCGATGGGTGGACGTCAAACACCAACGATTCGTACTTATGTTTCACGGCTCATTATCTTGACGAAAATTTCGTCATTCACAACGAATGCCTTAAAGCAACTCATTTTCTAGAAAGCCACACTGGTAGAAATTTGGCTCAGGCTATTGATGACTGCGTAAAAGACTGGATACCAAATGTCAATATTCCGATTTTTGTTATTACAGACAATGCAGCTAATATGAAGTCGGCTATGAAACAGCTCGCAACATTTCCACATTTTACATGTTTTGCACACACTACAAACTTAGTAGTCACGGATGCTATCAACAGCAATAAAGAGATAACAACGCTCCTGACTAAAGCGAGAGCTATTGTTGCACATTTTCATCGCAGCAGTAAAGCAACACAACGTTTACTGGTGGTACAAAGGCAGTTGAATCTCCCTACACACAAACTTAAGATGGAGTGCGTAACAAGATGGAATTCGACTTATTATATGATGTCACGAATTGTAGAACAAAAAGATGCATTGAGTATGTTACTGGCTTCAAGCGACACAATAGAAAACCTAACTGCACAAGAATGGAGAATGGCTGCCGATTTTATCAAGGCTCTTAAACCTTTTGAGGAAGCCACCAAGCTTATTTCTGGCACAAGATATCCAGCTGCTTCAATGGTCATACCGTTGCTGAATATTTTGCAAAGAAAAATGGAAGATTTTAGTGTCAGCGGTGAACACATCAACTTGAAAACTACATTAGTTCAGGGCATTAAGGCACGTTGGCCAGATCACGAAAAAATAAGGTGTTTGCGATGGCAAGCTTAATTGACCCAAGATTTAAACGATATGCATTTACAAATGAAGAAGCCTCAAAAAATGCTTGCGATGACGTTGTAGATAAAATGATCTTTGAACATACATCTACACTTCCTTCACCTGGTGCACAATCTGTAAATAAAGCATCTAATGCAGAGGAAGTTGGAAAAAAAGAGTCGGCTCCTTTCGACTGTTCACAAATATCGTTATGGGGAACATTTAAAGATATGGTTGCCGCTGCTGCTGAAGGACAGCAACGTCAATCACCTAAAGATAGAATGAAAAGTGAACTGGACTGTTTTCTTCAAGAACAAATTATTGCTCCTGAAGAATCTGTTTACAAGTGGTGGGCCGATAATGCATCTCGCTTTCCAACAATTGCTAAAGTGGCAAGAAAGTATCTTGCAATTCCTGCTACATCTGTGCCTAGTGAACAGATTTTCTCCATGTCTGGTCAAATAATAAATGAACGACGAAACCGACTAAAACCAGAACGTGTGGAACAATTAGTTTTTTTTATGTCATAACTTGCGGTTGGACTAAACTTTAACATCCTTTATTTGATTAACTGCTTTTTAAAAGAATGTTATCAAATTAAAATTAGAAACTATGCCAGAAACTTGTTACCAAAAATTTAAATGCAAATTATTGTGTTGCTTTTCATTTGAAAAAAAATCGAAATCGAATTTTTGTAACCTAAAATAATCGAAATCGAATTGATATTTTGACATCGAACCATCATTAAGTATTATACAAACTCTTGATTTCAAGTTCAGCCAATTACTTTTGCCTTCTAGGTGTTTGATTTGCACTGTTGTTAGATCCATTTTTTCTTTGTCTTTTAATTTGACCTTTTTAATTAGAAGCAAAATTAAATTTTATATACCTACCTAACTTTTATTTTTAATTACTCGCAGTATTAGGAAGCAAGAAAAAAAACGTATTCAGGTTGAAATTTGTTTAATGTGTATAAAATATTTTTGTGCACATTTAAAAAAAATTATTTGGGCCACCAAATTTTCTTTGCTTAGGGCCTCCTACTACCTAAGTCCGGCCCTGCTCTTCCGGATGTCACAGTCTTCACCAGACGTGTTGAGGCGTTTATGATGGAAGTCGATGCTCCACACTTGAGCTTATTAAGAAAATTTTAAGAGTTGTGAGTTAGATTAGAATATAGAATGAGTTCAAGCAAAGAGTAAAGAGATGCTGAAGTTGTCAGTGGTGAATGTAGAAAACTTTAACGAAGGAGAGGCCAAGATTTTTTAAAAACTATTTGATGATCGGTTTATTGATGACCCGAGGGTGATTTTTACAAATTTTTTAATTTTTTTTACAAAATGTTATGTTCAACGATGGAGGCCAAAATTATTTGGCAGAGCGGGGGCTACTTTTTTGGTAATGAAGCACAAAATCAATTTTGACTTCAAAAAGTACTTTTTTCTTTTAAACAACGACTTTACTAACTTTTAACATAAACAACGCACACAATAATGAGGCCAATGCCTCCCCACGGCCCCTCCTAGATCCGCCACTGGAAGCTGTCATCAGACTAAAGTGAAATGGCATAATTTGAAAAAAATAGTAGAATGGTTGAGAATTTCAAAGGTTTGAAAAACGCAAAATTATATGATAAATATATAAACACAGATGTTCGATTAGAAGAGTGAAATGATTGATAAGCTGATATGATAGCAATTGAGATAATTTTTCTATAGGAATCATTTTATTCGGAGTGTCGTTGACTTATAAGTAATTTTCAAAACTTGTGTGTCATTTCAACCACTATCCCTATCGCTATCCCCAACTTATTTGCAATTTGAAGCGCAAAAAGTTCAACATAGCTTCGGAGAACATTGAACACTTTTGATTTTTACTAACATATAAATTTTATTACAGTTTTTTTTAATGTAGTTGATGTAATCCGCAAAGAAGCGTATCGTGTTATATATGTGGTTTGTTTGTGGGAGGAGCAATTATTATAGTACATGTACATTGAATGACGAGGATCAAACGATCAGAGCGTTGAACTATTTAAAGAATACTGTATATTTAAATATTTTATAGAATAAAAAAGTGTATTATTGATCTATAACATCGATTATCATTTGTTAGGTAATGTTTCAGTCTCAAATGATTCAAACTTCTCCATCATTTTCATTTTTTTTTATTGATCATGTTATAAACTCGTTTTCACCAAATGATCAATTTTGAATTATTTGAATACACTTTTTTTTATAAATTTTTTATTAATAATTTTTATTTTCGTTTCATACTTGTCGTGGGATATACTCAAACTATTTTAATAAAATTTTTATTGTTGAACAAAACGTTAATTCATATTGGAACGTAATTCCGTAGTTGCATTGCACTAGAATCCATCAGGGCCTGACGCTTTACCGTGGTCAGAAAATTTTTTCTGGCACTCCCTTGATGGGTCGTTCCTCTGAAACAAAAAATCAAACAAAATAAAATAGTGTTTTGATTTTAAATCAATCAAATGATGATTTCAATGTTGGTAAAAAACTTTCAAATAACAAGACAATCAACCAGGCGGGAAGCAAGAGCACTGGTCGCAGTAACACTCCATGACGTCTCGTAAACATTTGAACTCCTTCTGGCATTTGAAAGCAGCGGGACACACACATTTGTAGTGCATTAATATGGGCCTCACGTGTTCCTGACTGCACTGACTTGGAGTCAACCAAACTAGAGCAAAAATGCCAACCACTAATATTAATTCTTTCTTCATTATTTTTTATCAATAAATTTATCATCCAATGTTAAAATGGGATGAAAATATTTGTGCAAAGTTTAAAATTGCTAAAGATATTTCAGTATTAATTGTTGACTACGTTGCGCTTTATATACATATTTCACGTGTGGAGTGGATTGAATTAGTAGATTGCTTTTTTTTCTTAAAGTAATAAATGTATTTACAATATATTTTTTTATATTTTTTATAAAAGCAATACTACTATTAATAATATTATTGTTGTTTCTGCTGCTGCAGATGTTGTTATTATATTTACCGTTCATGTAGGATAAGAACTTCTGCAAGTAACATAAACGCGCGTAAACAAACCAGTGAATGGCAGAACAAACATCATCAACAGCATTACTTCACGTAATTTCCGATGTATTCACTTACCGAAATGAATCCACTTTACAATAATTGCTCAGCTGTTGTCGGCAAGATAATGCAAAATATAAAAATAATGCAGCCATCTTGTCTAAAAGAACTCTACTGTAAAATTTGATTTCAAATTTTATTTTACCAACTAATATTTAATAATTTTTACAATTATCATAAATTTCAACTCATTCAAAAAATGTCTGACGGACAAAGTATTAAATTGGAAACTTTTCAATTAGAAAGAACACATTCTATTAACAAAACAAACGCCAAAACCAAGCAAACTTGTTTTCATAGAATTATCAATGGTGTTAGTTAAATCAATGTTTGCGGTGATCTGTCTCGAATGCAGTTGTGCACTGCTTACAAGATGCATATGGTGCAATGAGTTATTTATTTGCGTGTTGGAAAGCGACCTGAACACCCATTAGGTAAAATAATAGCCATTATCAGTGGCGGATCTAGCGGGAGGCCAGGGAACTAGTGCCCCGTTGTGAGCAGCTTCTTTAATAAATCAGAAAAAGAACCGCTTTATGTATAAAATTGACGAAAAAAGTCGTCAGCCACACTACCACAAATTTTGGCTCCCGTCAAAATTTAAACATTTTCCAAAGTTTGGCCCCCGTCAAAGTTGTCTGAATCCGCCACTGACCATTATTACCGTTTGATTGAGTAAATTTTGTAAAAATTTAAAAAGATAAAAAAAAGCAAATCGAGCGAACCCATATTGTTGGTACATTTTGGGTAGTGATCTCCGATGATCTGATGAGTGAGCTGGTAAAGAGTTATGCGTTGACAAATTCTTGGTAAATATATTGTCTATTAACGTAGAAAAAAATTCTGGAAGGTGCTGCTGTGCTGGGTGAAAGTTGAAAGAACATAAAGTGTGTAAAAATGTTGTTTTTTGTTTTTATGTTTTGAATATCGTCCTTTAATGTATTAATATTCTCTCCAAATAGATTAATCAGTTTATTCAGTTTACTAATTTAACAGGTGAATTACTTGAAATCGAAAAAAATTTTCAGAGTCAAAATTTGGCTGTCTGTAGATCGCATAAATAAAATAATTACAACTTATTCAATAACCTTCTAGAATAATTTCATTTGCAAGCCATTAGAAAAAAAGTGTAGCTGACAGATATTATAATAATAAATAATCTTTTACGATGTAACTGGTGCCACTCCTGGTAAAACAATCCACCTCACTTTCCAAACGGTTAAATCTAAGTGGATCAGAGGAAAAATATGCAAGCTGGCAACTTTTTGCACAATTTACCTTTAATGCAACTATTTTACTAAATTTACAATCCCTTCCATGTCGCTTTCTAGGTGTGGGTTTTACGTCCAGCGGTTTTTCTTGACTTTTTTCTTGACTTTTTCTACAGCAATTTCAACGCGTGCTTAACTTTTAACTATCTCCTTACTTTCATTTATTGTACTAGCTGAATGAAAACTAACACATTTATCAATCAACCAATACATCTGCAATATTATATATATATATATATATATATATATATAATTATCAATATTATTCCTATGATTAATATATATACATATATGTGTGAGACCACATAACTAGAATAAATATAACAGCATTCGCTCACTTTTAACGGTCCAACAAGGAGCTTACTTTCGGAGGATATTTGGAGGGTGATTTTTTATCATTCGAGTCAAAATTTACGATCGTATATTTACTAATTTCAGAATATAGATTTTATTTGAAATGTTAAAATGTTAATTTTTTTCAATTGATATTCAATGTGGTAATTAATTACTTTTATTTGGTATAAATTTAAAAAAATAAAATCGACATTACCGAAAATAATAAAATTTGAAAAAATTGAGGTTCTTTGCATACCTACTTCAACCCATAAGAAAGTGTTGGATAAATAGGCCTCCCCTTGTGTGTGACATAGGAGAATGTGCGATATTCTATATCTGCAGTTATTCAATGGACAGGTAATCTGACTTAAACTTCGATTCACTTTTTTCAATCGTCGTTGTCATGGTGAAGCGACGCGCACTGGCAGGTGCGCTAACAAAAATATTACCTACCCACTACTTTCATTTTCAAGTTTATTTAATTAGTTAACTTTAATTTATTTATTTGAGTTATTTTTAATTTATTTCGAAATGACAAATATAAAAAATTGTAAAGAAATAGATTACGAAGCTATGAAACAAAAAGTTGCTATTTTGAAGCAAGAAAGTGTTGAAGGTTTGACACGAATGAACAATCTTGTAAAAGAATCTCGTGCAATAAATGAAAATAATTTAATTGAAGAACACAGAAAAATTCATTTGAATGAATTTAATTATTTGACAAGAACAATACACAAATTAGAGAATGAAAGAGATTCTCTCTCGCGGCACGATTCATTGGACAGACGTATAAAAATTATTGAAGATCTGATAATGAATGCAATGAAAAAACGGAGTATAATTCACAATTTGATCGTTGCAAGCAGGGATGAAAATGACGATGCATTGCCAAAATTAATATCCCAGAAGATGGAATTTGAATTTGGCAAAAGTAATTACATACAAAATATAAAATTGTTCTAATTTAAGAACATGTCTATTTCTTATAGGTAACATTAAATATTCAAATAGTATTGATGATCAAAATTCTGTTGTTACCGGCATACCAGAAGAAGCTTTCGGAATGAACTGTCCGAATAAAAGTATAAAAATATCAGTTTTGGAACAATTTATTTACATGGATGGTTACTATGTTGAAAAATTAGAAGAATTGGAAAAAGCTAGTAAACTATTGTATGAAAATTATAAGTAATTATTCATTTGGTCATTTGATCTTTCTCGCTATTTTATGTTTAATTTTCACAGCCGAAATGTTTAGTGTTAACTTTGATTTCGGATTTATGAAAAACGAAAAACGATGAAAATGTCGACATATTATGTGATACTGATGATGTAAACTTTTATATTATTTAACATTCATTCCGTTGCGTATTTGTATTGTCTGTTTTCTGCACATTATTCATACTATCTGTAATTTCACAGTTTGTAGTCATTTATCTAATTATTATTATTAATATTAATAATTTCAACTTTTATTGTACAGCTCTGACATACGCAGAGCTGTTATCACCGACATAATGGATCATAAAAAATCGATCAACCTGGAGGCTCTGTGTGAGGGATCTGTATTTACATCAGCTGGTTTCTAAAGCTACTAGGTTTCGTACTTCACAAAAATCCAATATATTAGACTTGATTCTAGTTCATGACAAAGATGTGGTTGCCAACATCGATTATAACTCCCCAATTGGAAATAGTGATCATATTGTTCTGGTCTTCTTATTGAGACATACTTGGAATTTAGTTAGAAAACGTGCCAAGCAAAAATATAATTTTAACAAAGGTGAGTATGATAAGATGAGAGTTTATGTCAGAACTGAATTAAGTAAAGAAATGTGTGTATTTAAACAAGTTTATAATGTTGTGAAACACAATGAAGCCTGGATGTACTTCTGTACTGTACAGAACGATGCTACAAATAAATTTATTCCTTTAATTGATGTTGGGTTCATAATAATGGATTTGCATTAAAATTTCCCAGAAACCTTATAAATCTGATTCAATATAAAAATAGATTATGGAAAAAATATGTCACTTCTAAAAGTTGTATAATCTTTAATGAATATAAAAAAATAAAAAATGATATTAAAAAAAATATTTTTCAATTTAATACTAATTTTATGATAAATTTTTCAAGAAAAATAAAAAACTATCTAAAAGTGTTCTGGCAGCACATTAATAAAGCCAGAAAAAATAAAAGGGATATTGATGTCCTTCATAAGTTGGATGGTCAGGGCAAGGTTTTGAATGTTTATGATGACACTGAAAAGGCTAATCTATTTGGGCAAAACTTTTATAGTGTATTCAATTTATCTGTGAATGATGTTAATGATACTAATATGGGTAGTAGGTAGACAGTTTGGGTTTATGCCACATAAATCAGCTGCGATGCAGTTGCTAAAAATGGTGGATGACTGGAGTGTTGCGATTGATGAAGGCAAGGAAATTAATGTGATTTATACAGACTTTGAGAAAGCATTCGATAAAGTTCCTCATCACAAGTTAATTAAAAAATTATGCGAATATGGTGTGAATGGGATTGTGGTTGATTGGATTTCTGATTATCTTAGTGGTAGAACATTTGCAGTGTGTGTGAATGGAAGTCTGTCTGATAATTTTAAAGTGATTATTGGTGTTCCACGGGGCAGTGTGTTGGGACAAATTTTATTTGTTATTTATGTGAATGATATTTTTTATTTATGTAAGAATGATTCTAATGTTGGGATGTATCTATATGCTGATGACGCTAAATTGTTCAAGTGTATCTCTTCTAATGATGATATGGAGGCTCTTCAGGCATGTCTGGATGTTTTTTATGGGTGGTTTGTGAAATGGGAGCTTGGGGTGAATATGGATAAATGTGTCGTTATGAATTATGGGCGTAGAGCATGTGGTAAGAGATCTTATACTATGAATGGTTTACTTCTTGAAAATGTGGAATTTGTTAAAGATTTGGGGATGATATTTGAACCAGACATGAAATTTCATAAACACATTTATAATACAATTAATAACCGTAATATAACTCTAGGATTGATAAATAGACATTTTATGAAATTACCTAAACCAACTTTTTTAATCTTATATAAATCTCTTGTCAGGTCAAAGATAGAGTATGCTGCTTCGGTGTGGTCTCCCTGGTCTTTGAAAGTTTTAGAAGATATTGAACGGATTCAGAAGAGGGCCACAAGAATGGTGAAAGATTGTATTGGACTCAATTATGAGCAGAGATTAAGACTCCTCGATCTTTCCACACTGAGGTATTAGACGAATCAGAGGTGATCTTATCACAGTTTTCAACATAACTAGGAACAGCGTTTTATCACCGTGTTATCCTGTGTTAAAAAAACCTAACGACGATCGTACCAGGGGTCATCCGTTCAAGTTGTCTACTCATAGTTTTAACACGAATCATGGGAAATTTTGTTTTTCCAATAGGGTGGTTGTTATGGAACGGCTTGGATGTGGACATTGTGATGGCTAAAGATGTTGAAACATTTAAAATGAAGTTGGATCGACATATGAATTCTACGGACATGATGTTCAACTGGAGATCCTCGCTTGGCACAATGTCATAGTTTATATATTTATATTATCTTTGACATCTTTGTGGATAATGTGTGTGTGTGGGCTGATGCGTGCGTGAGTGTGTGTATATATGTGTATGTATGTACATATATATATATGTGTGTATACATAGACATTTATCATTAACAATCTTTATTTTCATCCAACTGTATTTTATTTTACATCATTTATTTATTTTATTATTTTTAAAATACAATGGAAGCTTTCATTTGCTGGAGGCATAGGAACGTCAGTTCGCGCCTCTTTAGTTTATGTTATGTTATGTTACCAGCCATTCGCGCAGTTTTGACCTGTATTCAAATGTAGTTACCATAGAAAGTTTGTGGCAGAGTATTTTAGAGTCAGGGCATGGACATTCAAGTAATACAGAAGTGATTTGAACTTTCTGCGAAGGAAAATGATTCACCACGTTCATTAAATGATCGTAAATTATTGGCAAACAAATTAATATGACGTAGAAGGTTTTATCACGCAAGTAATGTGAGGAAATATGAAGAGTCTGACATAGTCGATCACTTGAAAATAATTAATGTCGAAACATTATCTTGTTTTCTCTTGTTCCATAGATGATACGAACGTAAGAATTTTCAAAAATCAATCAACTTTGTTTCGTCTTTACGTTGACAGCAAATATTCCAATTGTCAGCATCAGGGATTGGAAATTTGGAAGCAGCAATAATCCAACTGATGCCAACTTATCTACTACCTGATAAGGAAGAGGAAAGTTTATTAAGTTTTGAGCTTTTCTTTGACATAGCGCTTATGAAAAAATGTTGTTTTATAATTAGCGCTATATAAATGCGTCAATAGTAATAATAATAATAATAATGATAATAATATTATATCCTATTGAAGTTAATGCTTAATAACGCATGGGAATAAAATTGACAGTTCATGCACTTGGTCCCAAAAAGAAATCGATATTTTTCAATCAGTCAGGGATGCTTATTTTCGATGTCCAAAAGAGAACAGTAGATTTCTGTTTGTTGACATGTGTCAAAGATTGTTTCAAAACAGAAAAAGACACGAAATCGTAAGCGTTATTTTCGTTATTGTGGTGACAATTAATTATAAATGCATTATACAGGTGGAGCATGAAAAGTGGTACTGTGATATTCTTTCTAACGAAAAAAAGCGTGAAAGATTGATCAAAAGTTGGATTATCGATAGAAACGATTTACTGAAGGAATGTTCTAGAATTTTTGACCATACCACAAAGCAGGCATTGAGTAACGAAATTAAAAACCAACATTTGCAATTAGAAAAAGAAAAATCAGAAGCTCTTCACAAAAAGGTACATATTTTAGGAATCTTTGTATCTTTTTAAACAAATTTCATCTGCATATCCATATTCATGTAATTTATATTGGCGTTCCTGTGTAATTTTTCATTCCGGGTATTTTAGTTAAGATGATTTTTTACTTGAATCACATCATTTACCAACATCACACAATTGAAAGAATTGATCAGAATGTAGTTTTGTACGGGACAAAAAACTGTTCCGGATGGAAATAATTTTCCAAACCTAGTTTGACTGTCACTTCAATAAATACTATAAGCGCAAAAAATAGATAAGCTAATTTGTAATTTACAGCTATAGAGTAGAAGGAATAGCATTTTACGTCGTGCACATTGAGGTTCAACTTCTAGAAATATATAGATTTGTTTTTTTTGCATGTTTGATAATTTTTAGAATAGTTCCATAAGCTCTACTAAATGGTTTTTATTGAACAATAGAAAAAACAGATATTAATATTTGTGATCGATATCAATCTTGATCTGTTACGAAAATTTTGTTAAAAAAGAGTTCACTGTAAAAAAAAACGTTGGAATATCGTTATGAAAAGTTTCGAATAAATACCCACCTTTTCCTGTAATTTTATTTTAATTAAATTAATATAGCGCAATGTTTTTGTCATCTTCAAGTTAAAACTGTTCTGTCAATAGCAATTAGTAAAATGAAAGCTCAAACTTTAACTTAAACATAGTAAATGAAATTTACAGTCTGACAAGTTACGCTTCTATGTTTTTCGATCTTCATCAGTCTACGTCTTCTGCCATTGTTTGAAAGCTGCTTTCTTACTGGCAATAGCATTTTGCATCGTCTCGTTCCACCACCAAGTTTCGCGGTTGTGCTGGCGTTTTGGTCCAGATTTTCCACATACAACTGTTGCAGCGTTTACTGGGGTGTCCTGAAAAGGTTACCTGGTTTTGTCTAACTTTTCCAGACAATCCAGCTGTGCCGATACCAACTCCTTAAATTTTTCCCTGAACATGGGGTTCTTTAGTTTTCATGTCTTTATTCTAGTAGGCATTCGATCAGTGACTTTAACGCATGAGAAATAATAATAATCTTCCGGTTAATGAAGCTACAAAAGACTTTTTTATTTTTTCAAAAGACAAGACCGTTTAATTTAATAGACCATCTAATAAAAAGTTGGAACAGTAGTGATCGGTAGGTATAACATTCCATTTTAAGATTTAGCGACTCAGCTGCTTTCAGTAATTCATTACAGACAGGGTTCAAATATTGAACTGCATACGTTTTGCTAGTTAATATTATAAAGATAAACGCCCACAAATAAAAAACATTATTATCATTATCATAACAACCAAGAAATAATAGAACATCGTCTCATGACCGGACTTACAAGAATTTTTTAAAAATTGACACAATTTTTTACACATTGTTTGTCAAAAGTTAAAAACAATTTTTCATAATTAAAAAAATTGAATATAATGAAATATATTTTTGCAAATTTTATTTGATCTAGAATATTTTAATGATACCTATTACTAGCTAAGAAACTGGCGAACCTCAGAAAAGGAAAAAATTGAAAAGATGCTGAAAGATTTGGATGAAATAAACAGCAACGTCCGCAAAGAAATTGCAGCTGAAACAACCAAGAAGAAAGAAAAAGACGCGAAAATTAAATTAAAAGTAACTTTTTGTCATTGGCTGGTTATGCAAAGATGTTATTGTGCCATCTTGTCATCTTGCCAATTGCAACAAAAACTGGGCCGACGTATTTTGGGATACCATATCCGATGTATTCTTAGGACTAAGTTTAATTAATTAATTAATACAATATATTAAAAAATATCATTTTGTCAGCAGTGATGGCACAATATAGTGTGGGGTTTTCCCTTCTTTTCTCCTTATTACTGTTTTCTGTCACGTCGTATGATGTTCTACTTTACGAATTTCACCCACTCCCGAAACACCTTTTTAGCTGAATTTTTCAGGGTGGATGTATTTTGGTATGAGCTATCCAACAAGTCCATCACATTTGGTGAGCTTCGATTAAATTAAATTAAATCCGAGAATAGGCTGCATCATGAACTTGTTTTATCCAATTAAATCTGTCCTGCGTCTTTCTCAGCAACTCTTCTATTTCCAAATCCGTGCTATCCTTTATATCATCGATTCTTCTTCTTCTCTGCCTTTCTCTTCGCTTTGATCCGGATAAGGATCAAATTGTGTCAGCTAACTTAACATAATTTTGACTGAATCGACTTCACGAGATTGTCTCTGAAATAAAATTTGAAAAGGAAACGTCAAATCTGAAAATTTAGTGTTTTTTATTAAAATGCTCTGGGGAATAATTTTCAAATAATTACAATAAATGTTTTTAATAACAGACTATAAATGCGTATTTTGACGTTATTTTTAACAGATCAAACAATACCACGAGCATTTACAAGAAAGAGAATCAGAAAAGCAGTTGTCGAAATTAGGAAAACAAAATGATTTGGAAATTGAAAGGAAAATTCAAGCACTACACGACGAAAGCAGGCTCGAAAATAATTTTTTCGATTTGATATTAAATTCAAGTTAATATTAATTAATTACTAAATTTGATATCATCAATTTTAAATTATATCAATACATGCTGCAAAACATGTTACCAATAAAAAACAGAGTTAAATATAGGAAGGAACAGTTGGAATTAAAACGACTAAAAACCATTGAAAGAGAATTTGAAAAAAAGCAGCAACTTGATGAAAAAAAAGAAATCTTGGAAGAAATTAGAAGAAAGGTTTCAAATACAATTTTTTTCATGTATAAAAGTCTTACTTTAAAATTTTGTAACGGAGAAGTTAATGGCCGGAAGCCGGGTGTCGGAGTCAAATAAAAATTTTTCCCGTTTTTGATCACTCAATTGAAAGTTTTCAATTTCATGAAAATTGTTTTTATACCAATTTTCTCCCTAATTCTTTTTACTTATACTTTACAATTTCAAATAAATAACAAAATTATGCAATGAAATAAAAGATCTTTTTAAAAACATTTGAAATCAGTTAACATGATTATTTTCCGTCATATAAATCATTATTTCATATTTATAATAAATTTGTCTTCAAAAAAACTGAAAAGTAATTATTAATTTTTTTTCTTTATTGTGCATTGTTTTTTGTTTGGGATTGTTTACAAATTATTGTTGTTTTTTTTTCTGTTGTACCACCAAGATGCAAATTTTACAGCTGACAAGCTTCATTACAATACCAAAAAGAAAACCATTCCTACGTCTTCTGTTGATATTGAAGACTTTTTGGTTTAAGCCAACTAATAAATGTTATGTTCTGTTATATTGTTTTGTGTCATGTCATGTTACGGTACACGTGGTCGAATTAAATATAATATTTGTATATTTTATTTCAATCCAGCTTGTATTCCGACCACGATAGCTGATGGAAAAATAGATTAATTTTGTAGTCAAATTAAATTAGTGAAAGTGGGAACTGTTGAATGAAAACTCAAATTTTAATGGAGGGTGTTAAATAAAAGTGTCAACAAATAACTATACCAATAACTAAAAATTTTACTCCTTATAACAATATATCCATACAAAAAATTGCATTCAAACCAAATACTTAGTTTCAGCCTCACAAACAGCAGAATCCAGTAAATTTTTATAAACAAACCACTGTTCTCAATGAAAAAATCGTAAAAAATATAGAATGCATGTTAAAAAACGATCGCTGACTGCTACAAAATATATTTTGCTACACTACACCGTTAATCCAAACTAGAGACGAAACGAACACTCGGTCTAAATTTGATATTCGTCCATCTTAAGACCGAATAGTGAAGCTTTAAAACCATCACATTTTTGTATTGTAGAACAATAATTGTTGAAAATTATTAGCGGAAAATTTATTTGTGCCACCATAGCTGTTAAAGCACCTGAATTTGAACACGAGATTATATACGATCTCAATTAACAATTGTTGGATGGATACGAATTGCCTACTGTTTTTTTACAATAGTTTTTTTCATTCTGAAAAATTAACTTCTTCATCAAAATTGTGGGTTTTAGTATTTGGTCTTCGGCTTCAGCAGATTGGTGGATCGACTATTCGGCCATTCACTATTTGGTGAATCCCTAATCCAAATACAATTACTTGGTTGCAGCTTGTTCGTTTATAAATGTTCCAGTTCTTTTTTAAGCAATGCTCGGATAAAATATACAACAACCATTTGGGAAGTAATTTTACTCTTATGGGAGTTTAACCAAATTTGTGTATTATAGAAAAAAACCAAATATTAAAATATTTTGAAATTGAGTGAAAATTTGAACACAAATTTTATACGTAAATTATGAATCATCTTTTTTAAATTAACATTAATTCCCTAATAAATAAAATATTAAATACTAAACACTCAATATTAAAACAGCGACAAATAAATAATATTTAATTTATGAATCTTTCATGCATAAATGCATTTTTTCACCGAGGTTACAACAATTTATAAATTTGTCCTCAGTTTATGCGCTCAGCAGTTAACTTAGGACTACTACGCACACTAAAAAGTGCATTTGGCAACATTAATGGTTTTCAAAATTTCAACTAGTTGGCTTTTGCAGAAACCTCCGACTCTCTGAAACTCTGGTTGGCAGTTGTCATTATTTTTCAAGAATAATGAAGTTGTTGAATTTTATCGATTATTTTGATTCACGTGAATTTATTTAATTTTAATCACAAAATTTGAACAGGTGCGACCGCAAGTCGATGGTGACTTGATGAGGTTGTGGAAGAATACAATTGCTTGGAGTAACAAGTTGGACAAGTTCCAGGAGAAAGAAAACAAACTGTTCAGCAGTGTCAATACATTTTCATCTGAACAAGTAAATATGTTTGAAAATAGACAGACATGTATAAAGTTAATTTAAATAACTGAATGAAGCATTTAAGTTGTGGATCATCGAGAATGTGATCAGTCCTTAAATGCATCGAGCAGACGACATCACAGTGTTGTAATACTTTGAAATCCTTGGTGCCGCTAAGGAAACTTACTGTAATTTTGTGAAACGGACGATCCACCCATCCACACTTTAATTTATTATTACGTTAACGAAACAACACAACATAATAACAAAATAAAGTAGATCAGACTGTATTGTTAAAAACATGTAAGTTTTAAAAACTAAAAAGAAATGATTAGTCATCAAATCAAATATCACATTTATGATCTTATAAACATTAATTTCTTTCCTAAATTATTCTAATCCGTTCTTAAATGAAATCTCATAATTAGCATTTGCAAGCGGCTTTGCACGGGTTGGAAGAATAAATTCTTTTTAATGAAAAAATTATTAAAAGAGAGTGTCAATTCATGAAGATAAAGTTTCGATGATATTAAACCACGATCAAATTCTCAATTATGACCATGCAAGTTGTGATTTTATTTCACTAATTTGGTGTCAAACAGCTTTAAAAGCAGCGTAGATCATGCCATGTTAATCGTTCAAAATTTATTAATAACTGAATCAAAACTTTCAAGAAAAATTGATGTTTGTTTGAACTCTGGTGATACTTTTGAATGGGTTAAATGCAACACTTGTATCACAAAAAATATTTTCATAAAATATCAATCTGTTCTGCTTGATCTGTTCAATTTAGAGTTATGTATGTAAAATTATTTTTTTATTATTCATAAATTCATCTGCTTTTATTGGACAGAAAAACACAAAAACCTTAATTAAAGTTTTTGTGACTATCTTCATAAATCTTGCTAACATCAAATTTTTAGTTAAGGCCCACAAAATTTCAAGTCACAATCGCTTGTTACCATCAGATAACTGCCGATCCTCGCTTTCGATTGGAAGAAAGGTTGAGGAACACTGGTTTGCTGAATTCTGAGTATGCTCGTTCAGTGCTCGCTAACACTAATCCAATCCGACAACCAAGAAGAGATATCGTTTCAAGCAATGTATTTCCAAATATTTAATTCTGTAAACTATAATTTTTTTTATATTTTTCATTATGAAAGTTATTACTATTTATAGCATTTTGTTTTCAGTAAGATAGCTTTACAATTGCTTCAACGTCAACATGCATTTCATAATAATTTTATTTTAATAGAAAATGCTAAAAGTGTTCGAGTTTTTTTTATTTACGAAACATTTAAATGCTTAAGAATTTTTTCAGACGAAGCAAAAACAATCTTGGCACGAAATATTTTATGTAAAAACTTCAATGCACTCAAATTTTCGATCATCTGCTGTTTGTCATTTATCTACTTACTCATTTTAAACCCACCCACTCTTCCATCCTCATCTTCATGATCAATTTGTGTTTTCCAGGATCAACCACTGCTGCCATCATCTGCCTCACCTCAGCTCACCTCAACGATCGCTTCTTTTCTTAAAAAATGACAACTTCATTTATATTTTCAATTTTTCATAAACTCTTGACATCTTAAACTCGCTTCAAGTCTTGCAAAATCTACAACTTAATTATATCTGTTCTCTTTTTGCTTGAAGTCACTTCATCTTAATTTTCAGCATGTCTTTCAACAAATTCTGATGTCTTTGAGCCATGTATTTTCACCATAAATGCATAAATATTCCAAACGGCCCATTTGTCTGCTAATCAGATCATTGAATTTGTCAACGACACATATTTAACCATTTTATCTTCAAACAACGCCATTCCATCTGAACCGTACTCACTTTTCATGTGTCTGAGCAGAACAGTTATTTCATTCTATTTAACAAAACCATTTGAACTAATCATTTATAACAAAGGTGATTCTGGTTTTTTGCTTGCATTATTTTGTTGTTTGGAATTCGATTTCTTAAAACTCATCAGTTTCTACATCGTGATTGCAACTAGAGGTTTGTTGAAAGTTTTGCGGCGTAGCTGTAAGTGTAGTTACCTCGTTTTGGTCACTCCTATTGGAATTATCTCGCGTTTCGGTTGACTATAGCTGACGGCAAGGTTAAAACAACAAAAGGTAGAGCTTTAAACTCGGCTATCTTCGATGTTAAATAATGCCTATGCAATAATAATTGTAATGCTTATTTGCCAGAGAATTTTACATAAAATGACAAATGATTTTTAAAACCTGAAATGCTTTTGTGATGACAATGTTAAACTGTTGGATGGATATTGTTGTCTCATCCAACTTGTTATTGCTAAAAACGATATCAGTGATGAAATTCGTTCTGACATCAAAAAGTTATCAGATGTCACCATTGCTCTTAGGGATGATATCCATGCTTGGAATCGCACCGTTTGTTTTAACGGCCAACAATATGAACTTGATTTATTAGAAAAATCCCTCGATGATTTCAAAATTGAAGTCACAGTCATGGTCCGGTATTATCAAAAAGGGGTATTGACTCTGTTAGCAATGGCCTCAAATCTGTTAAGCGAACCCTTGATGTCGTTAAAGACGTCAAGGAAAAAGAAAACAACATTATCATTTTTAATCTTGCCGAGACTGATGGCAAGGATAAGAACACTGTTTTGCCGGCAGTAAATTAGCTGACAGGCGATTTTATCAAAGCTGATGATATTTTATAAACTTACAGACAAGGAGTCTGTAAGTTTATGACGTGCTGTTATTGTAAAATTTGTCAATTTTGCTGGTAAAATTTTGTCAATTTGTAATGTCAAATCACTTGACGGCGATCTTAACAAGATCAGACTTAGTCATGATTTAACTCGCGAGCATAAGCTTATTTAAAAAAATTAAATTATAATCATGTCGTTCAATCGTTACCACTAATCAAGAATGCGTTACACTAATTACGTCAACACAAAAACAACCATGCAATCTGCAAATTTAACAAATCTGAAATAAACATTTATTTATAAACAGCCTATCATAGCAGAGGTCATATTTTGTGTACTTAACCAACCAGCCAACTAAATAACAAGCCAACTTACCAACCAATCAACCAACTAGTTAACTAACTAACTAGTAGAGACCTTCCCAGCAAGTATTTCTTAACAGCTTCAAAGAAAAATTTGCAACAGTTTTTTAATATCCAATCTGTGTTTTAAAGTTGGAAAAATTTATGAAAAAAATAAATAAATTTTTCCACTTGGTTTTGCAACTTCATGCAGAACAAGGTTTTAAATACGTGCCGCACAGGGCACGAAAATTGTTTATGATTAATATCTTTTAGATCAGGGGTAGGCAAACTGGGCCCTCCAAGCCATTTTATGTGGTCCGCGAGGCCTTGTTCGTATTTTGACAAAAAAATGAAAAATTACATTATAAGCAAAAATAAGGTCGTCAGTCCTAAATGTTGCTCCCCCGATCAACATTTCAACAATTTTAAAAATTTCATCCTCCTACCTGGTCAACGCTGAGTAAATTTTCTATTTGTATGTATATATATGCAGCCCTTCAAAGGTGAAATAGTTTTTAATGCGGCCCATCCAGAAAAAAGTTTACCCATCCCTGTTATAGATTAAAATCCATATCAGCATGCCATCATTCCAAAACATTATTGTGATAATACACTCAATCTGATCATCACTCCAACTTCGTTTGTTGACTAAATAAAAAAGTGAGGGCATCGGACGTTAATTAATCTGACCAAGTTGAATTAAAAGCCCCGTTTCTTATTAAACACCTACGTACAGATCTTGTACATCGTATAAGCCTGAACATCTTACAATCCGACCTCTCAGCTGTTATGGACTCTCCGCTCTATTCCAATGGACCCGGATACTTTGGACCCGGAGTTTGTTAAATTATCACGCTCCCCTTTAATTCGTCACCATAAGGCGCAGTTTCTGTAAATATTTGTAATTTTTCTCACGAGGCACGTGAAGCAATAAAATTACGTTATGATCCATATCTGAGAGTCAAACACGCTTACAGGAATGCAAAAAATCCTAAAAACTAATTCCAGCCTCGTTTCCTTTGGCCAACACTATAACAATCTGGATTTCAAAAAGTTATTCAATTTTTTTGGCTGCCTAAAAAAAAGAATAATATTAATCTTTTATTATTTTCTGCACTTTCTACATCCTGCCCTGTCATTTTCCATGTCAGCCAATTCTAAGATTACGTTTTTTCCACTTTGCAGACACCGATCAAATTGAGATGATGACGCTAATTTCATCTCTGCCGATTAACATACATATCATCTCTCGATCCCAGCCCATTTCAGTATTAAAGTTGATACTACTCTAAGTAGATGTCCTATCAAAAAGAAACTTCTGCAACTCTATATTATATTGTCGGATTGCAAATCCTAACGTTTAAAACTAACGATCCTCAAAAATAAATAAAAACACCACAAACTAAAGAAGTAATTCATGGGGGCTATATAAGGAAGAAACTGCCATGCTATTCTGATAGGTACTAGGGCTGCTGATGAGATCCCGGTAGGGACGAAACACGTGTCCAGCCTGTCCAAACGGACACCATTCTTTTCTTTTTTTCACTTTTGCGCACTGCTCTTCCTGGTTTGGTGTTCTTATGTATTAGCGCAACCAGCAACAAATTGGTGACTCCGACGAGATGGAAGAAACAAGCAACGAGAGTTTCCAACATTTTCGGGAATTAATATTTATTTGTATAATTTTCATATGAGTTTGAATAAGTTCTATTGAGTGATAAAGATTAAATATAAAATTTGTAAACCATTCCATTTACAAAAACCTTCATTTTTTGCTTTAACAAATTTATTAGTTATTGCTGACAGTGTGAAGTCAAACTTTAAATATAGAAATCAATAAAATTAATCAACAATCGTTTCTAAATAGATTATTTAAGATTAAATAAATTAACAATGTATAAAATAAATAATAATTTCGTGACGATATTCGACAATATAAATTGCATGTCTCAAAAAATGTTAAATAATTATCTTTTTGCTTTTCTTTTAGATAAAAAGTTAATGAGGTTGCGTTTATCTATTGCAGGACGACTTTCCACAAGATTGGATGCTATTAGATTGCACTTTTCACGGCATGACTCAGCTGTCGGTCTTTGACTAATTAAAAACAAAAACGTTATTGTTACATGGTTATAACTAAGATAAAAATTTATTTTGTTAGAATAAAAAAATTAATGAATACGAAACTGGTTACAAAAGTAAATATTCTACTTTTTATTGCCAATTTAGAATGAAACGAACCTGGGAGGCATAGTGAGGACGGTTGAAATAAGTTTAGTTACCCCATTATCAATGGCCTCAAACAATTCGTTTGGAAAACCATAATCTAGATTGACAGTCTTTTGGCACGTGAGTTCAACAGTTGCGGCGATGAAGGGTGTCGTACCACTAAGCATGCTGTACATTATAATTCCAACGTTCCTGTTGTAATATTCAACTTAAGATACACAGTAATTAAATATTAAAACAGAGCACACTGAATTGTATACGGTGCATTTAGACCACATAAAATATTCCAACTGAATCAGTTCCGCTTTTTTAACGACAACTTTTTAACATCGTTAAAATAAGTTGATAGTTATTATTGTATTATGGGGTGACGGGTGAAGTAAGTCCTGGGCCGGAAAATGCTTTGGGATTGTACAGAATGTTACAGAAGAGGATCCTGTAGATTAATTGTAAAAATGCAATGACGGAAAAGATGGAAAATATTAAAACCACAGCTTCAACAAAAGATTATCTTTGCAGATTTTAAACCAGCATGAAAAACGACCTTCAAATGTATTTAAATATCTAAATCTTAAAAATATAAAGCTTCTACGGTTAAAAAATAGCATAAAAATGAAAAATAATTGATCCCGAAAGGTCGTCGCCCGGTCCGACTAAAAGCGCGTTTCATATCTGGGTACCAGAATATGAAGTGGAAACGTCCTACTTCGGGGAACCGGGTCTCTGGACGCAAAACAAAGATTGATTGATTGGAAACCTAAAACCTTAATAAAAAAATTGGTACAAGGTATAAGAATTGTATTAAAGAAAGTAAAATTTTTGATATACAGGAAAATTACAAAGGCAACTGAGAAGATATTAATGGGATGCAGTTGTGAATATGTGAATAATTATGTGAAACAATATGAGACGAAAGAATTTAGAAGAAAGTAAAAATTTGAGCTCAAATGAAAATGAAGAATTAGCACAACTAGGGATACAACAGCAAAAACTCTATTAGGTTATGAATTGCAATTACTTAATGGCAATGACAATAGAGTTCCAGATAAAAGTCCAAAACGACAATCAAGTAATATATGCACCAAGATGAAAATGGAAAAACACAAGTTACTAAATAATAAAAATACAAAGAAAAGATATAAACAGTTTTTTTTTCTAAAACAACACTTACTACTGGCCAGGCAAAATTAAAAAAGTGTAACAATCCGACAGAAAAAATTGAATTAACAGTTATAAACCTGATATTAAAAAATTTCCCAAAAAATAATGACATAGGAAATGACAAAAGTTGGAAAAAATAATCAACACTTCATCGTGACGCAACTAATAGAAAATCATGTTGAAAAGAACACGCCCATTTACATTCATTTTAATAACTCCGAACACACGTTCAGCTGAGTAAAGCAAAATTCTGACAGCCAATAAAATATATGAAATCTGGATCAACTGTTCCACTCGGTTCTGTGGCCTGCTTATGAATTGGTGCGTCAGTGAGCTGTCGATGATGACGATGATGATTGCCAAGCAACAACATTTAATTGATCAATCAAATAAGCTTTTTAAATAATTTAAAATTACTTAAAAAGAAAATTATAATACAAATTTAACGAGAATTATTGAAATATAATTTTTTAGGAATATACAATCGTGGTGTTATTGTATACATCAAAGGTTTGTACTTAAAATGTTGTACTGTAACAACATAAACCGACCACAAGTCTGCATTGCATGTCACTGGCAGGTGCCGCAAGACTTCAGGGGGCACAAAGTCAGCATCACCATCGAATGGATGAATGTATGCGCTGGATGAAGCCACCTCTTGAGCGTCGCTAAAATCAATGACTTTTATAACTGGGTGGCGAGGCAAGGAGAGATCTACTAAAATGTTTTCCGGCTAAATTAAATTAAATATACTTGATTAGTTTTTCCATTAAAATAAAAACAAAGCCATTGCAAAATACGTGAAGTTAGTTTCTTCACCTTAATATTTAAATGGACTATGCTGAAAGTGCTAGTGTACGACAAGACATCAAAGAGTTGCAAAGATAGATTTAAAACCAGCTGCTGGTTGAGTTTGGTAGAAGGCCTGGTGAGGAAATCGAACAAGTGACCATGCACGCTCCTATCAAATACATTTATTTATGTACTTGTGATTAAGAATCTTATTGAAATTTGTATTACTACAAATACAAATTTTAATTAAATAAAAAGACTAACAATGCAGATTACAGGGCAAACAAATGAAACCTTGCTTATTTTACAATATCATACTTTGCGCCTTAAAATTACAAAAACTGCATTATATATCTCACGAGCGTATATTTGCGTATATTTGGGATCACCACCATACTAACAATGGAAAGACCAGAATGTACGACGTCGAAGTTTCAAACATTTCCAAACATCTCAGCACATTTACGTGCTTCAACTTATGGGCTGTCCAACCTTCTTTGAAAACTTGCTCTTTAGTTTTGAAAAATTTGCTGTAGAATTTGGACGAGACTTCCTGGTCAGTTGTGTGGTGGACAGTCCGCTGGCCTGCTTCGCCATCGAACATCTCTCCAATTTTAAATATAACCGAATTGCTTTCTTCGTGTACGTTGCGTTTGCATCGACGAATTGTAGAAAATCGTCCCCTAAAAAATTTAGAAAAGTAATTGCAATTGCTATCAGCCACATGTGTCTAGTGGTAATTGTTTTCAAACATTCACAAAGCTGGTGATGTTGTGATAACTAATTGTTTCCTATGCGATAATTTGTCTTGTGAATGAATGAATATAATTGCCGCGTAAAGTCGTCTACGAAAGAAGTTTGTTGACTGATTTACGTTGACACAAAACAAACTAATTACTTCTTCATTTAAACGTATATATCTTTATAGAATTCTTAGCATAATCAAGAAATTATGACAATGGTTTTTACTTGTGAATGTCTGTCATCTCCGTGTACTTGGATTCAAAATCCGACTGCCATGTCAACTTGTCTGTCACAGCAACTTTATAGACGTTATTTTTAATTAGAGAATTGTCGCAGTTCATTCAGTTTTGATTCCAACAAATAATTGTTGTAAACGAAGCATTTTGAAGTCTAAAATATTTTGTGCTTAAACATAATGTACCTCGGTTTGCACCATCATGGCCGTTTCTATTCGTTGGTAACAACCTTTCTCTACGCTCCACTATTGAAATCTTGTTTATATTGTCGCATTTTGTCTTTGGTTTTGGTTTCAATTCTAAAACAATGACATCAGACATAGGATTGGATGTTATTAAAGAAAATGCCAAAATATAACCAACCAGGAATAACTTTAAGAGTTGCAGCAGTGGTCACTTCACTTGATCCATCAACTACTCGACATGTATAAGTTCCTGAGTCACTGAGACTCACAAACTGAAACTTATTTAATTTATTAAAAATGCTATTGAAACAAGAATCAAAGCAATTATGTTTTTAAAACTAACGGTAACACTGCATTGGAGAGTCTGCCTGAAGTTTCCCACAGAAGGCTTTCTGGAATCCTTTGCCCCGTCGTCACTTGCTTCGCAGTGCTCAGTGTTTTTTCTTAGTGACATTAGGATACGATCATCCTTAGCATCGATTATTTTATTGTTACTATCTTCCCATGTCACTTTGAAGTGCTTGTCGGTCTTAAAAAACGAGCTCTGGGGATCTCGTTCATGTTTGCGCAGAAGATAAGACATTTCGCACTTTAAAACGACCGGTGCCCCTTCAGTTGCTGTTATGTCTTCCAAACGTTTGCTAACTTCTAACGGAGATTTCTGTTATCAAAAATTTAATGTGTAGTACGTAATATTTATAAAATATAAATTATAAAGTACGTAGGTAATAGACTTATTGAAAACTTTTTTTATTGTATTTTATTGCTAGTAAATGAGTTAACTGACAATAATCCTGAAAATTTATCTTGTTAAATTATTTAATATTATTATTGTGTTAAATGATAACCCATATAGGAGCAACATCATTTACGCGGTCTTCTACATCATCATCTACAACCTCTTTCTCAATTGAGATGCTTTTGTCACTTTCGTTCGTGGTGAAACTCGGTTTTTTAAAAAGTTTCTTAAAAGTTGACCAGCTGTAACAAAGCACATCATAAATAAGTAAATAAATTAATTAATTAATACTAAAATTTGTTAAATCAACAATGTTGATATTCTCTAAAACAACAATGAACGCATAAAATCGAAAATAATCATTCAAAAACTACGAATCCAACAAAACCATGCGGAAACTGATCAATGCTGAAAATGCAGTGATATTTAAGCAGGAAAGGAGCCATATGTTCTGCTTTCTTAAATCGATATAATGTTCAACGTGGTCTTTAGTAAAAAATTAATATTTTAAAATTTATCAAGTACAAAAATAACAAATATGTAAATCAACGAAATACTTATTGATGAGGAAGCATTGCATCGCCCAACGTGGACATGCTCAACAATCTAACAAACCTGACTCCAGCTGTTTTTGGTTGATTGCTGCTTGAGTGGCTGTTTGAGTCGGCTCCCACGTTCGAACTGCTGTCGTCCTCGCTGTCCAGACTACTTTCGCCAACTGAATGTTTTTTCTTCTCCTTTTTCAAAGTTTTGAAATTTTTTGCTTCGCGATGAACACCGTCATATTCCTTACTCTGTATCTTTCAAAAAGAATGAGTGCATTAATAAATACAATAAAAATTCGTTTTATTGCACTTTTGTTTACTTTGAGGTTTTCCAGAGATGTGTAGAAAGAGGCTCGATTGTTTTCCATTGTCTTGTTGAGCATGAGAGATGGTCGGTGGCTGCCGTGATACGTTGGCGTCGCTCTCAACTCTGCGTCAAACTGTTTTTGTTTTGCAGTTGCTATCAAGGGTGTAGAAAGTTTGTTGCTGCGTTTTGACAGTAAGGACCACTTTGGTTTGTGGGATTCGGATGATTCGGATGGCTGGTTATCCGAAGAGAGTACCACGTTTATTTCGTTTTCTGATTGGTTTAAATTCACCATGCTACTTTTCTCTTGGTTTTTGAGTATCAAATTTGTTCCGTCATGTATTTATTCATGCATACTAATATTAAATATTTGTATAACTAAGATTTATTGGACCTTATTATCAATAAATTCAGAAAATTATTAAAATTTTTCTCACCAGGCGATCCGTCAAGTTGATTGAAAATTTTCAATTTAGGAACCTGCAGCTGGTTGTGTCCACCCCGTGAAAAAAAATTTTTGAAACTGCGACTTGATTTTGACTTCTCAGTTTTTGAGGTGCATTTTTTCGCCGAGGCTTGTATTTCCTCGGCCATGGCTTTGAGGTCAGTTGACGAGCTGTCCATTTATTTATTTATTGATAATAATCCATATTGAGTTATTAAAAATTATTCTAAAGACATCAACCAATTATTTCATGTAAATGAATTTTTTGGCAATATTACATTATTCAAACAATTTCAAAATCTTACTTGCTTTTGGCAATTTCATTCTGATAAGCTATTGGCGATTGCAGGGCTGAATAAAACAAATTATTTGTGGATAGCACATGTTGGAAGTGTGAGCATTTTTACATCGATGATGACATGCGATTCAATTGCAGTTTTACACCGTTTACAGGCAGTCAAAATTTTATTTACATTTTGTTTAGGTAGTCTAGGTTTTATCTTTGATTCTACTATGTCTCTCTCTTCTCAGATTAATAGTGTGGCTAGAACCTCTTACATTCATCTACGTAGAATAAAAAAACTTTTGCCTTTTCTTGATGATCCTACTCTTCTCCTTCTTGTTACTTCCTTAGTCTTATCTAGGATTGATTATTGTAACTCGCTCTACTATGGTCTCCCTGGCTCTATACTCTATCCTTTAAGTAAAGCTTTTAACTCTGCTGCTCGTCTAGTTGCTCGTGCCCCTTTCTTTTCTCATATATCTCCATATCTTGTTCTCTTGCACTGGCTACCTATAAAATATAGAATAATTTTTAAAATTTGCACGTTTATGTATAAGTCTCAATCTAAATTATTTCCTAAGTATTTATCAGATATATTAATTGAACCTAAACGCTCCGGTTTACGATCGTCTTCTTCTTCTCGCTTTATCTTAACTCGTGTTAAACACTCTTTTGCCAAATCTGCTTTTGCTTTTTCTGGTCCTTTTCTCTGGAACTCTCTACCAACTTCTCTGACTACTTCTCCATCACTTACGAAGTTCAGAGCGGATCTCAAGACCCATCTGTTTTCAAAACTTATTGAGGAGCGCTGTTGAACATCGCGGAAATAGCGCTTTATAAGCTAATTGAATGATTGATTGATTGATTGATTGATTGATTGATTGATTGATTGATTGATTGATTGATTGATAGATAGATTGATTGATTGATTAATCAATACCGTTGTACTTGAAACGGTGCAGACGTTAAATAATAATGCTAAACTTTTATTTAAAAATAAAAAAGTGCATTTATAGGTAAAAAAACAAAGTTAAAATTATTTATTATACACTCTCCCAAAGCTCATACACACAGAGAGCATGTGATAGGCGGAATTGCCCAAAGTTGGCAAGTAAAATGTAGAATAAAACATAGCAAGTGATTTATACCAATGTTTATTTCAAAAATTGTTGGCAAAACGTCCAATATTTTTACCTTTCAACAGATCGATCTGCATGTCCAATAAAAGTTTAATTTGCGTGGTCCAATTTTTTTTAATTTTTTCATCGACTGCCTTGCATATGAACTGCACGTTGCTGCTCGGACTGTTGTCGATCAGTTTGAATGAGCATGGATGGCCAACCAGTTGACTCTCCATCAACATCTTGTTTACCTTTATGTAACGAATTTTTTAAATTATTCCAAAAGCAAAATTTCCTGTTTGTAGTTTACAAAAGTCATTTTAATTTTAACGTCGTGTTTTAATAATTAAAATGAATAATTTTTCCAATAATTTTTATTTTCAGTAAAAAATTAAAAAAGAGCATCACTGCATCAATCTTGAAAACATCTACTTGCAAATGTTTGCTCATACAAAAATGTATTTAATTACTTTGATGTCGTGTTTGTATATGTATGAGGGACCGGAGAGTGACGGGCCGTTTTTGTTGCAACTGCTGTTGCTTGCATTTTTGACAACAGGCTGTTCGCTGAATATTATTATCTGCTCAAAAAGAAAAACTTTTCTTTTTTGAAATTTTAAGTTAGTTAATGATGTCGATGACGACGACGATGATGGGAGTTCTGCTATTTCCAAAGTGTCTTGCAACAACAATCGGCCTTGACTTGTTACTTTGCCCTGTCGAAAATTATTAATTAATTCATATATATTATCATTTGTTCTCTGACCTCCAACAAGAATGAAAAATACTGAACAACAATACACTGCAGTAAAACAATTTTTTGTTTCATATAATTTATATACTAAAGGCCCAAATTAGATTTTATCAATTGTTTTCAAAATGAAATTAGCAGCTTACATTGAAGCCTTGCAATCTGCCCACATTCATCATGTCGTTGGCAGCCTTCGGAATGATGCACATGACTTCCAACGCTTTCTGGATATCCCTGATGTCATCGCCAGCTCTTTCAGTGTACTTCAATATGTCCTGTGCTCGTTTCGTATATTTATAAACTTTATTCAATAAAAAATACTCAAGAACAATACATTGCGGTAAAACAATTTTTGTTTCATATAATTTATATACCAAAGGCCCAAAATGTGAATGGTTGAAAATTAAAAAAAGCAACAAACTTACAAGCTTATTGATTAAATTGCTATTATTTAATAAAGTTATACTTTCACTCAACAAAATGATCGAGGAAGATTTTTATTCAGAATTATTTTCCGATTTAGATTTTAATACTTTTTCAACGGCAAACGCAAAAAACTGATCAAAATTTAACGAAAAAATAATAAAAATTATTTCAAAAATACTTGCATTTTTTCATGTTTTATGTAAAATTATGTGAAAATTAGTTTTCAATGCAGTATGCAATCTCTTGAAAATGTGGTTGAAGTCAATATAATTAACTCTTTTCATTATTTAATTTGATAGTAAATGTTTTTCAGCTTCACCACGGAATCCCATTGGATTGGATTTGTTAAAATATATTTCTACAACTTTCACGCTGAAATAGTTTTATTCTTCAGTTTAAATTAGACTGAAACCAAAGAAATGGACAAAAAAAGTTTGTTTTTAGTTTTGAGAGCGTTTTAATTTTATGAAATATTTCATGGAGTTACATGTCGAACCATTTAAAATTGTTGGAGCAATACGAATCAAGTGTGTAAAACCTCAATTTCTGCCGATACATTCAGATTTAATCATAAGGAATATACGGCGCCGGCCTTAGCTTTGTTGACAGGTCGGGCAAAACTCTTAGAATGTTACAAAAACGTTTGAAAAAATTATGATGAAATTTATAATTTTTTGATTTTTTTGATTAAAGTATTATTAACAAATTATTAGTAGGAAAAATAAATTAATTTCTATGAAAAACTAATTTATGTTAAAAATAGATATAAGTTTAACGAAATCTTTTTTCAATTTATTATTTATTAACATTTGAGGCCCCCAGTTACCCGGTGCCATCGGGAGGCACCCTATCTCGCCCCCTCCCTCCCAAGGCCGGCATTGGTAACATACAAAAATATCGACACTTGATATTTATTTTTGAGCTTATTATTGACAAAGTGCAAAACATTATTTATCATTTAAAATGGACATGAAATATATGTAAAATGTTTGTTATGTACGTGAAATGTACATGAAGCGCCCAACCTTGAAGAGCAGTTGATACTTCATGATACGTTGAACCGGCTTGATAAGCATGTCAGCCAGTTGCAACCTCTCCCCTAGTTTCTCCCTCAGTTGCTGCGCAAAAGTTAAATTTGTTTTAAATGCCAAATATGTAATATGTGATATATACACAGTACCTAATGGCCTCGACATTCAGTATTTTGGATGGTAAAATTATTGGCGAGAGGCGGCAATGGTTTCATGCAGATGGGAGAGAAAAGTTGCATGCGTTGTTAAAACTGTAAATAACTCCGGTCGAGTTGTTTGTTTTGTTTATGTTAATTAAATTAAACAAAACAACTTAAAAACCCACTCTTTTTTCCCAAATATTTTTTTTTCAAAATATTGGGTGGCAAGAGTAGAAGTTTCCAATCACCTTAAATTTTGAATTACTCCACTTCAATTCCGACTGCTTTTCCAATACCACCTGCCATTGTCGACTCAGATGTATATAAGTATACGTATGAATAATTTATGTTGATACATACGTACATATATCCATGTACTTGATGAATTAATTCATATATAACAGACAGATGGGAACTGTGACGGGATAAACTAAACTACACTTTGGTGCTTACGTACGTTCGTGTTGGTAAAGTACTAGCCCCTTCTTCACAGCAAGCTATGGACGTATAACTTAAATTTGACTCTGCTTTCATTAAATATTGATGGGCTGCCGACTGATACAAATGTTTTCAAATAGTATTCATAAGCTTATATATAATAATAAATACGATGCTCTCAACCTTTACTTTGTGAAGTGTGCAATGATAAAAATAAAATAAAAACTTCTTCATTTGCGTAAATGATTTCAAACGACGTGAAACCTTGCAACGTAGTAGAAAAGAAACCGGGATTTATTGAACTCATTTAAAGTTACTGGAAAATATATGCACTGTACCAAACCGCAAATACTTATGACAAGTTTTGTGGAATGTAAGCTGGTACTAGAAGCATTTCTTTGTTAACTGACTCACCTGGACAACTTACGACAGAGTAGTATTTTGGTTGGACTGTCCATTGGCTGAATGAATCCTTCGACTGAAACATGTGGCGTTATGTTATATTGTGCAACATTCAACGGTTAACATGCGGCAGCAAACTAACTGTCAGCATTTGAAACGTGATTGCAAAATGGAAGATTCTTTGTGGAAACTGTTATTTAGTTATACGCGACAATGCGATAAACATCAGTAAATGATTTCGTGGCAGTAACACAGCGAGTGTTTGATGTTTTTAGAAGTTTTGCAAAATGTTCAGTGGCAGTAGCTTGCTACGAAACACATATCCGATGTGTCCGATTCCGACCGGATATTTCATTCTACATCCGACCAAGTTTTATAGAGAGACGCTGTACAAATTACCGACACCTACCCATGAACATAGGCATTTATTGAAGACTAACTTCTTGAAAATATTTCTGCAACTGATATCAAGATAGATTTTAAAAATCAAAACAAAAAAACATAAAAAAAGAGCTAACTTCAAAATAATCAAGATTCTCAAACACGATGTCTTCTGATTTCGGCTTGTTTTCACAATACTTCACGTACATCAGGAACCGCTTCTCCTGTGACGTGTCAAAACATTCGCAGCTATTACAACTAACATAAAACTATATCAACTTATTACGATCATCGTCTTCGTTAGAGAACTTTTTAAATCTTTACTCTATTGAAACGTAAACAAGTTATGGCACAATGGGTTGAATGTGTTCGTTAACTCATCTTACTTCCCTAAAAATTTGTCACATTATTAATTGAACCGTAATCAGAATTGTTGTTAACATTAATTGTTAATGCAATTTCGTCATTAAATGTTTATGTAATTTTAACGTTAATTCTTAATGTAACTTTAGGAACTTATAAAAGCCTCACATATTTAATGAAAACGGACGCCAAATGCTGTGGATCGTGGATGCACCTCTCAATCTCAGCTTTCAACGTGCTGGCAAGATTTATTTAAATCCGAATTAAAAATCAAATATTTCAAAATATTATTATAGGAATATTACAGTTAACCAGTGACGTTTTCATCCAACAAGCAAACACACACTCAACAACTATCCTAAGTTGAATAACGTTGAAAAATAAATATTTTAAGGGGTAGCAACTTTTCGTGCCAGTCAAGAATTTGGTGAACGTTTCCAAAGACCATGGCTTCCTTCTGATCTTTCAATGATGGTGGCTTCACAATGTCAGAATCCTTCACCAGCGTCATGTAGCCCTTCGTTCACGAGTTGTGTGGTGGTTTCACATGTTTGCGTGTATTTTAATGGTAATATAAATTGGATTGCATGTTCAGCTTGTGGTACAAATTATCTTGTTTAATTTATCCAAATGATGCGATAAATGTGAGATTAATGAAATTTTATTCCAAATATAAATCAGTCTCAACAACAAAATCTTAAGTTATTTTTATATGTATATTGTTTAAATATTAGGTTATTTATATATTTTTTATTTTAATTTAATTTCAAAAAGATTTTATTAGTAGCAAATGACCAGTTAAAATGCGTGGTGAATCAAAAAATAATTTTTGTTTAATATCTCGTCAGTATAAAATGATGATCTATGACAATGCCAGCTTTAAGGGGGGAGGAAGGTCGGGCGTAACATTGGGGCGCGTCTAAAAGGGCCAAAAAAGCTATGGCCGGCGTTGATCTATGAGCATGAAAAGTATGTTTCGTGTCATTAAGACAGGCGGCCTCCGTTGTAATATAATTGCTAGATAGTAATTTAGGGAATTTTTCAATTGCTAGAATTAAAAGAGCTTTCTGAAGAGAGTTTAGTCCTAGCAATTAATTATATAAATATTGATATATATATATATATATATATATATATATATATATTACAATATTTTATAAATTCTGCCGAATGTTTGGCGTTAATATGTTTGTAGTTCGTTTTTTCGAACTACAAACATATTAATTGAAAAAACGAACTACAAACATATTAACGCCAAACATTCGGTAGAATTTATAGAATATTGTAAAAATTATGGTCTATTACTAACATATATATATATATATATATATATATATATATATATTATATATATATATATATATATTGGGTGCCTCTGACGCTATGCACAGGGCGCTGCACAAATGACATCGTCATTATTATTATTATTAATATTACTATAAGCCCAAGGGGTTTGAATTAGAAATTTAGGTGTGCAGAGATAAAAGTTAATAGCATACCAGAATGGGACGGGACAATTATGACCGACTGGACATATTAATAAAATAATTTAGATCGAAAGGAAGTACTGCTTGATAGAAGACTCCTATCTATATTATAATAAACATTGTTAGTTTTGTCGCTGAAGGGAGTAATTATAAATCACATGGGACAAAAATGAATCAATTAAAAAATTGTTGGTTTACGAAGATTTAAAAGTGTGGTGTGAATAAGAAGAGGGGAGAACTTCAACCACCTCGACAATCAGCGTCAGGTCCTGGATGTATTTATTCTCTGTGTCCATAAGTTCGTCCAACACGTACCTGTGCGTGAGAAATTGTTTTCAAGTGCTCAAATAATTTTTTAATATTTTTCTTTATAATAACACAACAGCAATTTAAATAGATAATGTACAGTTAAAGTAATAAAGCTGCAGTCTTCAGGATGGTGTTCAAAAAAAAAGATTTTCTTGGACTTCCTTCCAAATTTAATGTTTGTTTTTTTTTACATTCTGTTACGTTCACTTATTTCAAAATGTTGTTAATTTCCTCACGACAAATGATGCCCGCAATTGTTAGATTTCAAACATTGGACTTCGAATGGTTAATTAATTTCGAAAGAATTACTGTCAGTGAAGATGACGTTAACTCAATATTCGTTCATCTGCTGATGTGTTGTTAGCAGCAGTTCAACAAGATTCTTGTGTGCTTTTTAACATGGTCATCAGTTACGACAGCAATTAAAATGTAATTGAATGCTGTGAAAATCATTTTTTGCTATATTTATTTGTTACAAAATGAAGAACTTTGAAAACACCTGATACGTTTTTGTCTTGGTTATGATGCTGATGTTTGATCCGTGTAATGTTTGGTCATTGTAATGTAATTTGACATATAAAATTGTTCAATATTCATCAATTAATATAAAATTAAATTATTTTGAATAAATATGATGTCAGTTTTTGTGTTTAATATGAAACACTGAAGCCCTTCACTACAACTTCATCAGAATAACACTGATAACAACAGCAGCAACAGCAACAGCAGCAGCAGCAACAACAACAACAGCAGTAAAAACATTAAAAATTTACAACATTAACAACAACGATATCAAACTCATAAGCAACTGAAAAACCAAAACATGAAACATCGACAAACAATTTCAAATAAAAAGTACAGTCTGCAAAAACAAAATGACGTCACAACGACAAACCTCCGCTTTTTGTACATCTTCAATTTATCCGTCAGCATGGCATCTCCGCCATCGTCAAAACTTTCACCATCCTGTTCGTCTATAATGTTGTTGTTGTTGTTGGCGTCATTGTTCATGTCATTACCGTTGTTATTGTCATCGCCAATGTTGTTGTTGTCATCAAAGTTTTGTTTGTTGTTGCTGCTGTTTTTGTTGTTGTTGTTGTTTTGGTTGTTGTTGTTGTTGTGCTGCATGTCAACAATCTGATTTGTGGCAGGGTAGGGAGTTGCGTGCTTCTGAAGAATGTTGTCTGCTGTCTGCGCCCGAGGGCTCGATGAAGTTGCGTCGCCTCTGTTCAGCAGGCCGATATGCTGTGTGGTGTTGGTTGGTCAGTGTTAAGATCAATTGTCATCAATTCGTTTGTTAATTTCACCGTTGTTCGGTTTAACCGTTATTCCGATAGCCAGGTCGTAAATTGTAGGAAATTTAACGTTATTTTGCGAGATGAAAACTCAACTGAGCCTGTCATTTGCTTCGAAATTCGTTCAAAACCAGACATTCAAGAATATTTAATCCTGCAAATTTTATAAATTCCGCCCGTTCTATTGCATTCAATTTTGATTTGGCACGCTCATAAAATTTGTCAGCATGAATTAAACGGTTTGAAAATAAACATGTATGCTATATTTTATTGACTCTTGTGATAACATTGAATTGACGTGTATTATACAACTCTTTTGATGAAATGTACTTATAAGTTTGGGTTAATATAAATAACAATATAATACAATGAACAAATGTGCACATATTTTTTTCAGCTTAAGAAACTTGATCTCATCTAATGAATACCGCTTCATGTATTGTGTTGTAGGAATAGAAGTATCGAATGATGTGTTGGATGTGTGAGATGTGTGTGAAATATTTTATTCGGTCACCTGAACGCTGATGTCCTCCAGTGTTATCATGTTCTTCTTTCTATGCCTCATTGCTTTCTTCTTCTCCTCCGTCCCCCTCATGATGTTCGACGTCATTTCTTCACTCGTCGAAACAAACTTTCTTGATATAACTTAAAATATAAGGTTGAATAAGTTAGTTGTCCAAAAAATTCACAACCTGAAACAGAACACAGAAATAAATTTTTCCCTTTCGTTAAATTCAAACGCCTGATGCCTATCTAATTTGATACTACGGCAGACAAAGTCTCGTTAAGCGTTTAGGTGTTGTTTTAACAAACGAATGTGAAAAAGTACATTAAAATATCCAAACAATGCTCATAGGAGAAAAAGAAGTCTAATTGCATGTTGTGAACAATTACTAGTTGCACAGCAAACAGCTGACACGTAATTACGGTCTTAACAGCCAGTTAGACACTGCGCTATTTATACATCGTCATCCATATTTTGGTCTCCCTCCATGTTTATATATCTTCATTCACATATGCTAGAAGATGACTATATTTTATACAGTATTGTTTGTATTCTACCGGTTATTCAATCAATAAATTGAAAAATTTCCAGAAAATTCTAGTAAGGAAAATTGAAAAGACAAACTTTGATTAATGCCAACAATTTGGTATAATTTATACTTCATTCATATATGTATTAATATCTGAATATATGAACAATGACAAACGTTGTGAATGATAATGAATAATGAATGCTCCCTTAGTTTCTTGTTTGCAGAGTGACAAATAAAAAATTACTCGCAGTGGTTGTGCCAGCCAGTTCGGCCGCAACTCCAGATGCAACTCCAAAATGATCGGTCCCATGTTACATGGTGCATCCACATTAATTTAGCGGTTAAACATCAAACCATTTAATGGTCCAACCATGTGACCATTCATCGTACTGTCGTTAGTGAAGTGTACAACTGCTGGTGCGCATTCATGCAATGTACAGCATGGCATGACGTAACAGTGCATATATTAGATGCATGCATCAATTAAAATAACCAATAAAATGGCGTGTAAAATAACTTAAAACATGGCCACCAACAGCGTAAGATCACCAACGTGGCATATAAGCAGGCAGAGCAGAGCAGCTCCTTTCAGTAACTTCACCGATTCCAATTATTCAAATAATTGTTTACCTCTCTGTCGTTGTTGGACGTTTGCTTTTAGGAAATATTTGACATTTTCAAAATTCAGTGAACGTTTGTGAAAAAGTTTTTTACTTCAACTTTCAAATTATGATCTTACTATACAAACACATCTAAACGATTCTTGCTGATAAGCACCACAATTCTAAGTTCTACTGATGTTTTAATTGTTCGGACATTTTTGAACCTTCCAATTTAAACTACTTGTTCTACAAAAAAAAATATTTCGAACTTAGATACAAATTGCGTGAATCTGCTGTAGTGTGACGAGAAATATAGAACACGCCACTGGCAGAAACATCTTGATGGTTCTTCGTCAGCGGCTCGACGAATTTTATTAAAAATGAATTTGTGGTTTGTGACGCGCGTCCTACAGAATGATCATTCCGGGTTTTTGATTTTGAAGGCTTATATCGGCTGAATAATTGATAACAATATTTTTTAATGTATTTGATGCATTGATATGATGTTGGATATATTTGATACACCATTAGATATATCTGATACTTGATACATTGTTAGATACATTTGATATTTCTCTCATTTGACCCAACCTGGTCAGATAGGGTAGATACTCTAATAGTCAATGTCCATGGAACCAACGAACATGCTATATCTAACTGCGGCTCTACAACAGCTTTAAAAAAATACACGATTCTACACAACATAATTTTAACAATAAATTCCGAGAACATTAAAAAGCGCGCAAATCCAGAAGTTTCGATATTTGCCGACTTGGATTATGAAGATTGCTGCTGCCCAGTTTCAGCACATTTCAAGTCGTTTCGTCCGAATATTGTCCTCGTTCACAATGACATCAACGATGTTCTAGGATTAACAGTGTGTCATGGGACAAATTTTACAAAGTTGAAAGAATTCAAAATTAACAAATATAATCAAAATTTACTATAAAATTTAAAAAGGGAATACAATAACTTTAAACCTTTAATAAAAACTTTCGAAATTTATAATACTTTTAATTCAGTTAGTCAACTTAGTTTGGACTGAAAACTTTAGAAACAATTTAATAAATTCTGTTTTATCATCATCATCATCATATTCAATATATTGCGGCAGAAATACCGTATGAATCCTATTTTAAACTAACATCTTCCACTTAGTACCTACTCATTCGAACTGAATGACCTTGACCAGCGATATAGACGGACTACCAGTTTTTATTAATTTCAACTCTATATTATATTATTTAATTTTATCTTATTTAATTTTATTATATTATATCATTGTATTATATTGATAGTTTGCTGTTATTGAATAAAAAGCAGTGATCACATTATTATTATTGTTATTATTGTGGTTGTTGTTGTTGTTGATGTTGTTGTTAAAGATTAAAAGTTTCTCTCTCTTGCGTTTGCTTCAGAGGTTTCAACGACAAACACACACAGCTGTTGTTGTTGTTGTGTTGTTGTTGATGTTGTTGTTGTTATTGTTTTTGTTATTATTTTTATTATTATTATATAAAGTTGATAAATACAAAAACAATCTCAAAAATAACTTGTCAAATGCTTTTAAACATTTTAATATTTAATTAATACTTTCAAAATTTCGCCGATAGGCTTTTATAACCCTTTAAATCTAATGTTAAGTGAAACGAGTTGGTCTGACAATTTTAGAACTAGCTTCTACTTACGCAATATACTGTGACAGAAATCAATCTTGACCTAATTTTTATGTCATCTTTAACACCTTCAAACTTTTTCATAAAATGACGATCATTCATGTCTATCAATCAATTAATTATTGTTTCAGTTTATGATTTTAATTAGTGTATTATTTTAATACTATTTTATTTTAGTTTTGTATATTTTTATTGCTGGAAAAATAAAAGAGATCACATTATTATTATAATTATTATTATTATTATTATTATTAGTGGTAGTAGTAGTAGTAGTAGTAGTAGTAGTAGTTGTTGTTGTTGTTGTTATTGTTGTGATAGTATTGCGGTTGTTCATATTATTATTTACTCTGACAACAAGTTATTCCCATTGTTATTCTCAATGTTACCAACTTCGTCACTGTGATAATAATACAAATATCAATGTACAAGAGTGTGTAATAGGAAAAGTAAGAAAGCACATGTTGTTGTAGATTGATATATTTCAGTACTCGAAACCATTCCCTCACGGAATTTATTCAGCGTGAATATTTTCGCTTGTCCAGTTGAATGCAACTGTGTCCAGTGTCCAAACGAAATTGTTTTTGAATTTGTAAATTTGATAACTTTAATTCAATAAAATGTATTCCTTCAACGTGTTTGTTGCTGCTGCCTTGTTGTTTCATAGCCATTGCACGGCGTACCAACTAGAAAGTAATGTTTTAAATTTTTCTTTTATTCATGACAAAATTCGTATAATAAAATAGTAAAAGTTAATTTTGAAGTTGTGTGTGAAAAAATGAAATGAAAAGTTAATTTTGACGTTGTGTGAGAGAGAAGTGACATGCAACATTGAACTCAGGTCCGTCGGCGGTCAAGGTGGTCTTCACACAAACAGGCCTCAACCTCATCTCACTCCGCATTGCAAACGTCATCGAGAACAACTTGAAACACGTTCCATTCAAGAAATGTGACGGCGAAATACCGCTGCTTGCCGGCAGAGTAGATTACTCGATTTTCGACATAACGGTCAGTACGGAGAGCCTATTATTTTTTCAAAGTTCTAATCCATATTTGTTCGTCGTCTTTTAATATTTACTTTTGTGCGTTAAATTTTTCAGACATTTCAGTTTCACAAGCCGACAATAAGTTCAAAAATAAACCAAGCCGACAACTCAGTAACGATGAACCTGATGAGTGAGTCTGCCTCGATAAGTGGCAGGTGGAAGTACAACTACAGGTTCAACTTCTTCCAGAGTTCGGACACTGGCTCCTTCATAGGCCTCATCGAAAACATTGAAATGTCCTTGAAGATGAATGTCGAAGTCAGCAAGTCGTCGCAGTTCACGCTCTTCTCGGAAACGTGCTCGGCCAACATCACCGGCTTGAAAATAAACAACATCAACAACGGAAATTGGGTCTACCGCTACATCATGAGGTCTGTTTTTAAATTTAATAAAAAAAAAACATCCCAACGGCAATAAAATCAATGTAGCCAGCAGGCCAGTTGATGTTGCTACGAACAAGTTGATGTTGTTGCGAACAAGTTGATGTTGTTACGAACAAGTTGATGTTGTTACGAACAAGTTGATGTTGTTGCGAACAAGTTGATGTTGTTGCGAACAAGTTGATGTTGTTGCGAACAAGTTGATGATGTTGCAAACAGCATTCTGAGCAAACATCTGGTAGCAGCTTTAATATTATTAAATTATTAAATAGTATAAATTTGTATTCTATCTTTACATGAAATATAATTGTGACAACATTTTCATTAACAAAATACATAGCTTTGAACACAATGCAGCGAGTAACATGCAACCCATCGCAGAGACTACACTTTCAACTCCAAGAATTTGATAACAAAGATGTTGTGCGACGATGTTCAAAAAATTCTGACGAGAGAAGGCAACAGGAGATTGGAGACATTCAACTACAGAACGAACATCTCGCAGAAGCTCACCCTCCTGTACCACCCGGTCAACGCTCCGACCTACCAGAGCACCAACATGCAGTTCGATCTGAACGGATTTTTCGAAGATGACCTGTCGTCAAACGATGTTAGTTCAGTACTTCATTTCAGTACGCGCCAAAAACTTTTCTTATAGTAAAAGTTCATCGCTGAGACAACCATCTGCCATGGAGGGTGCCGAACATATTTTAGCACCGACGAGGAGAGTTGGTGCAACGCAAGAAACATTAGTTGTTTTATGCGTTATCTTTTCTTCCATTAGCAATTTTTGTTAGAAATTGATAATAAAATTGTTATATTCTGAAAACTGGCCACACATCATCTCGTGTGATTCATTAACTGATTCATTAGTTAATGAATCTCAAAATGTCTCAAAATGCTGAAAGTTTATCATTCAATCCAGAAACTAAACTGGTGGTTTATTTTTTGTCAAAGTAGTGAGCGTAAAACAATTAAAAAATGATAATTTTGTTGGTGAGCACTTGGAAGTATTTGTGTGCAATCGATGAATAATTTTTATTTGATTTTAAAAATTGAATAATTTTCCGGTTTGATCTATCAAATTCATTATTTTTTTCATTCAAAATTGAAAAGTTCATTTTCAATTTCATTCAAAATTGAGTAATTTTTCCGATTTGATCTATCTAACGTCATGATTCGTGAATGATTATTTAAATTCATTAGTTTAGTGAATTATTTACTGTAATCTGTATTAAAAAATTTCTTCAATCTATTTTTCATGGGTTTTTAACGTAGGTGAACCATTTTTTTCTTCCACATGAGAATGAGATTGGATTTGAGTATTCTACTGGATGGCTTTTGTTTTAGCGTTTATTGTGTAACTTCGAAATTTGAAATTTTTAACATTTTTTTCAAAATTTTCAATAAATGCTACACCATAACTTTGCTCAAGTCTTATCCTTATTTATGCTAGTTGTTTTTTTTACTGGAAACTACAAATTGAACTTAATGCATTAAAAATTGCAATGTTTCAATCGCTGCTAAACTAAAGTAACTGACTGAAATTATTGACCAGCACATAGCGAGCATGACTGCACCGTCAGGTTACATGCTGGGGATGGCTTATTCGGATGCTCTTTTCAACAGTGCCGTCAGGGTCATGTTCAAAAAAAATCTCCTCAAACACGTTTACAGAAGTGAAAATTTCAAAGTTAGCAACAAACTTTTTTGTTCTACCGTTAATGAAAAGTTTAACAAAATTAAAAATTTATTCAGGTTTTAGAAAAAATTGAAATTCCTACTTCTTTTCTGAAAGATATAAAAAGCATAATTGTGAAGATATCAGCCATCAACATACCGGTCATCTACACCAACACCTCTGGAATGTTCTGCGACGCCAAGATACACATACAGTTCTTCACTAGCAACTCCTTTGATATTGAGGGGGAATTCGTTCGCTTCAACGTCTCCACCCACATGTCGTTCAGGTTGAAAGTAACAAAAAACCACATCAAAGCAAAGATTGAAGACATGAAGCATGTGATGGAAGACCACCTTTCCTTCATGGGGAACATCAAAATTGATGACAGACACTATCTCATCGAACAGGCTCTGAAACTTTTTCTGCAGCCCTATATAAACGACGAATTCAACAAAGGCATTCCGCTTCCCGGAGTAGATAAAATATTTTATTCTGACGGTCTAGTGAAGTACGAAAAAAACTATGTGTCGTTTGCTTGTGATTTCTCTATTGATGCTTCTAATTCCAAATGAAACTTGAGCTTGTAGTGAATGTTGTTGAAGTTATTCTTGTTTATCAATTTTGAATTTTATACAAATATTGTTAACGAAAATTGTGAAATAACTTATTTTAAGAAATTTATATTTATAATTTTTTATACAAACGAATTCGTAAAAACGACACATTTTTCTCAATTGCAACATTTTTGATGTTTTGAAATTCAGATATTTAAGTGTTTTGCAAATTATTAGTGGAACACTCATATTGGTAATAAAAAGCGTAAAAAGCAAGTTGATCTTTCGTTTGAAATCAAAATACAACCACGACAAAGTGAGTTTCAGATCGTCAACGATAAGCAAAAATTTTATTTCACCACGAAACAGAAATCTTCACCCTACTTTTTGTGTGGTTTCAAAAAAACTCCTTTAGTCTCGATAGCAGGAGTTGCACCTTGGTGACTGTGGGTCTTCTTATACGCTTTGATGTGCGACAATCTCAATTTAGCACTACACAAATATTCTTCTAACATTTTTTTGGTAAAAAAAGGTTTTTTATAAAAAACTCTGGCAACCAGTAAATGTGATTTTTTTCTGAGATTATTAACCATCGTCAGACTGAAAGCGACAGTTGTCTGAGTCGTAGGCAAGCCGTAAGGCTGGTTGAATGGTAGAGTTTCGTGCTGCTGCTGCACTTGTTGCTTGGTAAGGGACAAACGTAATTCTTCTTCTTGATGAATTTTTTGTTGAGTGATTGTCAGTGATGGAGTGGTCTTCTGGCCTGCTTCGCCGTGTAAGGCTTCGTGCAATGATTGCTTCTTAACTGAAGACTTAAAAGGGCTAGGAATTTTACCGATAAGTTTGTTTAAACCCTTCGAAGTTTTTTCGCCTTGCTGATTGTTGTTGTTATTGTGAACGTTTTTGGCATTCATGTTTACATTGTGTAATTGTTCAAAAAGCGGGAAATTTTTTATGTTATTAGAAGAAGCTGGAAAAGAGTTACTGGTGATGTTGCTTATATCAGAAAACTTTCCGAATACATTTACGTTATTGTTATTTGCAGTAGAATTTGCAGCTTTGTTTACAAGTTGAGTCTCGCTTTCAACAGGAACGAGAGTTGCTAATTCAATATCTAAATAATCTTTTAGAAGTGTTAATTTTTTTTCCAAACTATAATCTTCATCTTCGTATTTTTGCTTTGGAATTTCTAAGGAATTTTCAAAATCTTTCCCAGGATCATGAATGAAGTGAATCGGGTAAAGCTCGTGTTTTTTTGACATTAAAGGCAATATACCTACAATAAAATCAAATATAAAGTTATAATGTCATTTAATGAAAACTAAACAGTTGCTATATTATATTTAAACAGTTTTTGAAATTAACTTTTGTACGAACCGGTGAAAATATTAGCCTGAACAGAACTTAAATCGACTTCTTTTGGAATCAACGCGGAAAAATGTGCGTCGTGATAAATGAGGAAGACGGGCGACCGGTAGCAGAGGGACGGCTTTTGTTCCATCGGCAGATAAATTCCTCCAAATGTGTTCACTGAAATCGGCTCTCCGGATTTCGATCTTTTGAATTTATCACAATAAACAATAATTGGCCTCATGATGATATTAGCGAGAATGTAGGCGTGTATCTCTTTCAACTCCGAGTAAATGATGGGAGGCTGTTGAGCAATAACGGGATCCAAATCATATTTGTCTTCCTTCGCTCGATACAATTTGTCTTGCCTCCGACATTCCTCTCTGTTCAGATTATTTAGTTTGGTTGATTATGAATTTATCATGTGCCGTCAACTATAACATCTAAAAACGATAATATAAAATAAATGTTCAAATTTTTTCAAAAATGATCATAAAGAAAGGAAGAACTTCAATTCTTCAACGACAGGGTCACACGTGCCAATGGCCAGCGTAGATGCCAGCATTATTAACTTCTTCCATTCATTCTTCCAGCTATCGGCAGAGAACACAACATTTTCCTGCGTTGTTATGTTTCGTTCCGATGGGAAATTCATTGAAAATTCAATTTAACTTAATCAAGAAATTTAAATTGCAGAAACGTGCATGAAAATATAACATATAACATTTGTAGCAGCACTATTTGAAGTACATTACTCATTTGGTATAATGATGATGCTGATTGATTGGTTGGTTGATTGATTGATTGATTGATTGAATGAATGAATGAATGAATGAATGAATGATTGATTGATTGATTGAATGAATGATTGATTGATTGATTGATTGATTGATTGATTGATTGATTGATTGATTGATTGATTGATTGATTGATTGATTGATTGATTGATTGATTGATTGATTGATTGATTGATTGATTGATTGATTGATTGATTGATTGATTGATTGATTGATTGATTGATTGATTGATTGATTGATTGATTGATTGATTGATTGATTGATTGATTGATTGATAAATCTGCACTAATTTGCCAACCAGAAAAAAATTATCAGATCTGAGAATAAAAATTATTTATTGACTTAATGTAATAAAAATAGGTAAAAAGTATTTTCCTTATGTTTGTGATTGTTTAAATTAATAAATTGACTAACAACTAATCGTAAATCTATTATTTTGATATCGTTTTTGGGTTTTGTAATATGATTTCAGAAATTCATATTTTGTAATTTGGTTTGGCGAAATCACATCTTTGATTAAAATCAACCAAATTCATTAGATGCTTTTTATATATATTTAAAAAAATCAAACCAATTCCATCTTAATCCAGTATAAAAAGTTTTATAGCTCAAAACTTGTTTTATTCTAAAGAGTGTAAAGGGGTGTCACGAAATGAATTTACTAGGAAAATTAAAACATAGTATACAAAAATTAATAGTTTTTAAATGTTAGGAATGTAGTTAGTCCATTAGAACGGCATACAAAGAGAAGTGTGCGCTGACCTGGCTGACCAAAAAAGAAGTAATATTTGATGTTTTGTAAAACAAAAGTAGAAAAAAAGAAAAAAAAAGAAAAAAAAGCTATTTTGAGTGAACATATATAACGAAACGAACGCAAAATACAACAGAATGTAAACAAATTTAGAAAAACTAAGTTGAACCTTCTTATTAACAAACATTTGATGCCACTTCCATTTTCTGAAAAATGTCTCTTTCAAGGGACCGGACATCATGGATTTCTGGATTCGCCTTCTTTGCGATAAATTTATGTCATGGAAACCACAAATCCCTATTACATTTAAATTAACTTTTAAAGTTTAATTTGAATTTTTAAAAACGCAGCCTCAGTACATATTCTTAAACGCAAGCGATGAGAAAAATGAACAGCGTAAGTTTGCAACAAGGAAAGTCAACAGCAGACACCAAACAGACCTAAGAACGTTGCATGGAGCAAACAATTGCCGTCATTTATGGTCATGATGGGATACATCGGAAGACACCCAACATCCAACCACCAGTTTATTTCGCCTTTATTATTTTAGTTTCAATTTTTTATTAATAATGCGTACGAAAAAAATAATATAGGTATGGTTACCGCATTTAATTAATAATTCCAACAATGGCCTTGAGAAAAATTCGTTCTCAGTATAGTCCTTAAACTCGGAGGTGTACTTGTCATTCTGCTCGAAGAGGGAAGGGAAAAGGAAAAGTTCATTCGTGAATTCACAGCTGCTGTTCGAGTTGTTGTTTTGCGCATATAAATTCAATGAAGAATTTTTCGTCGAGTTGTTTTTGTTTTTTCTTCTTCCACCTTTTCGGTTTTCTTCATTCGGTTCTGTGCCCATCTTACATCGGCGATCGAACGAATAAAATTAGAAATAAATGTCTCAATGGAACTTTAGCAATCTGAATATAACAGTTATGGGAAAAACCTTAAAATATATTGAAAATCATTAATAATAACTCAAATTGATTGATGTTGAAAAAATTAAAGATAAAATGTCGTGGCAATATTGCAAATAAAACGAAAGAATTATTTTGTATCTCATTTGCTCATTCCTAAATGCTTTTAATGTTATTTTTCAAGCTTACTGATACGATTTCTTTTCTTTTGAATCGTAAATTTCAGTTGGTAGCATTGGCAGGCAAAAAATGACGATGGTTACATACATTTTCCATAACGATTGAATTTTAAATTTTATTCATTTCTACAAAGTTCAATTAATTGCACTTGATAGCATGCAACACATGATTTTTTTTTCAGACCTTATTGTAATGGGCAGCTGGACCCAAAATGTGTAGGTGGAAAAATTTTTGGGCAGTGGGAGAAGGCACCCTGGGTAGTCAAAATATAAAGTTTTAGGCAGTAGTAAAACAAAAAATGTAGCTAATATTTCGTACTTACAATTACTTACACTCAAGCATTTACTGAGACAATGAATAAAAGCCAGTTAAGTACTAAAACTAAAGTACGAAAAACGGAACATACGAATTTAGATACGAATTGAATGAAGAACTTACTAAGTAAAACCGTACGACTGAACGTTAATAATGGGAAATACAATGATCGATCGATTTGATACAGTATACGTCAAACGTCTGATTTGGGTTATGGAAATAAAAGTAATAAATAAGTAAATAAGTTTTGGACAGAGGCGACGTATCATAGCCAGTGCTCCCTGAAGTAGCATCCGTTTACCAGCCTAAAAGAAGGCAAGTTATAAAACATAATCGATTAAAACAATAACTTTAATATTTTAATATTTTTAATCGGAGATTTGAAAAAATTAACGTAGTTTTGGGGAAGCGAAAATCATTTATGTTGCACAACGCCTGTGGTTTTGGGCGGTAAGAAAAAAACCTTAGAATAACCACTGTTTTATTTTACATCAATATAAAGTTAGAATCAATGTAAAAAAGAGATGTGAGCAACTTGTTTATTCGATAACACACACACACTCACACACACACACATACATATATATACATATATATATATATATATTAGGACCAAAATCCGGTTTCTTTTCGAATCCGGCCCCGGCTGGATTTGGTGGCCGGATTTAAGCGTCTATCAACGTTTCAAAATGTTATAAATAGAAAAAAATTGTTTATTAAATTAAGATAATTTTATGTCAATAAATTAAAGGCTAAGCATACATGACGCATAATAACAACATCATTCATTAATTGTGAGGTGAGCTGGACAAATTTCTTTATGCTATAAGATGAGTTATGCCTAAATTATAAGCTGATCTTTGTGTAAAAGAACTTGTGCACGTGCATGCATGACACATAATAACAACATCACTAATTGTGAGGCGAGCTGGACAATTTTCTTTGAGCCATAACATGGGTTATGCATAAATTATAAGCTGAGATCAGCTTCTTTTCTTGATCAAATCAGGAATTTGGCGTATCACACAACTTATTTATATATTTGAATTAATTAACTACTTGCTTGGTGTTATTTTTTGATGTTCAATATGTAGATAACCGTAAATGTATTTTTTTAACGTATGTAAAATGGTAACTAAAATCCGGCCCCGGCTCCGGCTCTGGCCGGTTTTTGAATTTTAAATCCGGCCAAGTTCGGCCCCGGCCGGACTTGAAAAACCTAAATCCGGTGCATCCCTAATATATATATATATATATACATACATATATATATATATATATTTACAATATTCTATAAATTCTACCAAATGTTTGGCGTTAATATGTTTGTAGTTCGTTTTTTCGATTTTTCTCACTAAAGTTTTTTGGTGAACGTTTAGTTTATTAAAATTCAAAATAAACTTATTTTTCGAATATATATATATATATATATATATATATATATATATATATATATATATATATATATATATATATGATAATGTGTGGTATCGGAATGATGATGTTTGGTATCGGAATGATGATGTGTTGTATCGGAATGATGTTTGGTATGGGAGTGATGATGTGTGGTATCGGAATGATATATGCATGCACGTATACAATGTATAAAATATTGAGAAAATGTGCATGTATTTAGTTTACCGATATTGAATATATTTCCTATTTGTTATAATTGAACATCTCGATGTTAGTATCAGTCAAGAAATCAAATTATTTCATTGCTTTAAAATTAAATTTTAGACGTCATTAATCAACATTAAAAAAATACATACATATAAACTTGAAAAATTGAATAAAAATGTTTACATTAAAAAAATAAAGTTAAATTTTCGACGACGCTTTTTAATTTCTGTTTACACTTTGACGTTTGTGAATAACAAGGATAAATTAATTTTTTTGTAAAATCTTCAAATTTCATAAATTATTATTATGTAGTTTGAATAGCAATTTTTGTGCATCATAAATTAACTCAATAAACAATATTAGCAACAAACAACAACCAAATTTTCATGGCCAAACGGGTAACTTAAACAACTCGTCATTCGGCGTACGCAACTGCTACATAAAGTCTGGCAATATCATAAAATTTTAAGAATTCAGTAAAACTGTACAAACCATTCCAAACCCGTTCACCGTCGTCTAACGCACACAATCAAATATGTAACATCCAAGGAGAAGAAATAGACAAATTAATTACTTCAAACAACATTTGTCTAATCAATCCATCAGGTTCAACACATATTCAAATTCTGACAAACAAAGATTCAACGACAGATTTAACTTAGGCTTCACCATCTTTATACACCAGTATACAATGGTAAAAGCACAAAAACCTAAGCGGAAGTGATCAATATCTAATTATAATTTCAATCAAATTTAAATCCATATCCAACTACATCGATAAATTAACGAGATTAAACTAGAAAAGACCTAATTGGAAAGTTTTTAAAAACCTGTGTAAAAAAAAATGAGTTAATTTAAAATCATAGACGAATACCAATAAATAAATTGGCAGAAATAATTTAACTTCATTAAAATAAACTACACTTTTAATGAAAGAAAACAAAAACAAACAACTAATTCCACAGATTAAGGAAAAATGTAAAACAGCAATAAAATATAAATTGAAAGCATTTAAAACTTTTAAAAACAACCCAATTCTGAACAACTTAACAAAATACAAAAATCAAAAGCAACAGCCCGCAGAGTGGTAAGAAAAAAAACAAAAAATGCTGGATGTCTTTCGTTGAAAACATGAAAATGAAAAGTAATATGCCTTTGAAAAAAATTTGGAAAAGGATAGACGCAATAAACAATAAAAACAATTCGAGTAAAACAAATCATCTATACTTTAACAACAATAAAATTTGTGGACGACCAAGAACTAGCAAACCATTTAGCTCTCAGTTTCCATAAAATATCATCTGAACATCATTTGCATCCAAAATTCTTAGCGATAAAAATAAAAAAGAAGAAAAATTAAACTTCAACTCCAGCAAACTTGAAAATTGTAATAAACCATTCACAATGAAAGAACTAATTTACGAAATAACAAACAACAATGGTTTAACATCGGATCCAGATGGAATGACTTATGACATTTTGAGACAATTCTCAGAAAAGTGCATCGAAACATTATTATTACAAATTTAACATTTTATATGGAGAAATAGCAAACCACCAAAAATTTGGCACGGGACAACATTTGTACCAATATATAAAACAAATCAACCAAAACACCTACTAGAATCATGTCAAAAATTACAGATTAAGTTGGTTTTTAAAAATAAATAAATAAATTTCAAATAAACAAATTGGAGGTACCGAACGAAGGACGATCAACCATTGACAATTTTGCAAGTTCAGAGATTTACGTAAGAGAGGCCTTAGAAAGTAAAGAGGGAATAATTGTTATTTTTTGACATTGGAAAGCTCATGACACAACTTGGAGGTACCGTATATTAAGGAAATTAAAAAACATCGGGCTAAGAGGATTAAAAATTTAATCAAATCGGTCTATAAAGTTAAGAATAATTAAATGCCGAAATTGGAATTCAACAAAGAAGCATTTTATCACCAACGCTCTTCTGTTTATATATATATATATATATATATATATATATATATATATATATATATATATATATATATATGTATGTATGTATGAAAACGTTAAGTTTAGTAAAGCGATTATCTAATCTCGACTGGGGCTGAGATGAAAAAATTCTATTAATAGTTTACAGAACAACAGTCAGATCAATTTTAAATTATGGAAGCCAATTTTACGGGCAACGTTTAAAACACACCTAAACACCTTGAAATCAATAGTAAATGAGTCGTTAAGACGAATAATAGGAGCATAGAGATCACCACTTTCATCAAGTATCAATGAACTATTATGTTAAAATGGCCAATGTAGTTATATCGAAGATTTTGGCACAAGAAACAATATCTTTATGCTACGAATGATCAGTGAACGAGCGCTTGAAATGAAGAAAGACTTGTTTATATGTTTTGTCGATTACTACAAAGCTTTTGATAGCGTGAAACACGTGCAGCTTATGGAATTAGTGAAAATTTTGGACATTGATGGAAAAGACACGAGAGTTATCAAAAACTTCTATTGGGACCAAGAAGCAGCGATGAAAGTTGATAACAAGATGACTTGTTTTGTCAAAATAAAGAAAGGTATTTGGCATGGCTGTGTATTCTCTCTAGACTTGTACAATCTCTATAGTGAGATCATCAAAAGAAAGATAGAAAATCTACCTGGAATATCCATTGAAAGCGTCAGTGCTTCCCATGGGGGAGCGAGGTTGGTTGCCGGGTAACTGGGAAAATAAAAATAAGTTTAAATAACATTTTTGTTTTTTGTTTAATGGCAAACGGTTGTTAATAAATATTTTCCTAAATTATATTTTACGAATTTCTCTTAAAACAAATCGTC